TTAGCCTTAATTACCTCCTAAAGACCGCATCTCCAAATACAGTGACAGTGGGAATTGTGACTTTAACCTATGAATTTGGGAGGGACACAATTCCGTCCACGACAGACCACAAGCAGTTGAACATGTTGGGCACTGGTATAGGGGCGAGCGATAGCACAAAGTGAACAGTGGGTAGGCAGAAAGCTAAATCTGTAGAGACACATATAAATCTATAAGATGTAAATATTTACATGCACATGCAAATACTCAAAATAATTGCAAGCAGTGGCAAGTGCTAGGAAGGAAAATGAAACATAGTAAGGGGGTGAGGGAGCATAGACTAACAGAGGTAAGGCATAGTTTTAACAAATGATCGGGAAAGATGTCTAAGGTAGTGACCTTTAAGGAGACGGAGACATGTCGAATTGCTTAGAGTTCAACCAGTGGAATTCAACGCTTTAGCTCAGGAGTCTGCAAACTTCTCCAGTGAAGACTAAGATAGGAAATGTTTTTGTCTTCGTGGACCCTACCATCTTGGTCTCCATCACAACTACTCGCTCCATCATTGTATTGCAAAAGCAGCCATAGACAATACAGAAACAAGTGAGCGTAGCTGTGTGCCATTAAAACCTTATTGGTGGACACTGAAACCTGAACTTGCATGTATCATGAAACATTCTTCTTTTGATTTTTTTTTTTTTACTGAGAAAGATAAAAAATGGAAAAACCATTCTTAGCTTACAGGCTATACCAAAATGGCCCAGACCAGACGTGGCCCACGGGCCACAGTTTGCAACCCCTGCTTTAGAGCATGAAGCTGTAAGGTGCTTCTCCCAGCTGTGGGTTGTGGGGTGGGGGGGCACCAGCGTAGGGCCTAGAACACAAGTCCCTGGCACGCAGCACGAACTCCATGTGTATTTGTTGAAGGAGAGAAAGAAGGGGGTGAAGGAAAGGGAAGAAGGAATCGGGGTGTCAGAAATCCTACAAGTGCCCTGGCCAGGGCGGCTCAGCTGGTAGGAGCGTCATCCCGTAACTGCAGGGTTGCCGGCTCTTTCCTCAGTCAGTGCGCACCTAGGTTGTGGGTCCGACCCCTGGTCCAGGAGTGTATGGGAGGCAACCAAATAATGTTTCTCTCACATTGATGTTTCTCTCTCTCCCCCTTTCTTTCTCCCTTCCTCCCTCTCAAATAAATAAATAAATAAATAAAATAAACAAACAAGCTGTTGAAAGAAAGAAAGAAAGAAAGAAAGAAAGAAAGAAAGAAAGAAAGAAAGAAAGAAAGAAAGAAAGAAAGAAAGAAAGAAAGAAAGAAAGAAATCCTATAAGCAGGCATTCCTGGCTCGGAGCCCTAGGCTGACGGTGACTTTGCCCAGCTGGCTCTTCTTGGGCTTCAAGGCCATTTCCTCGGAGCCTCTGCAAAGACAGGTTGACGTCGCCTTTGAAATGCCCACAAACTCAGAGCCTTCTTTCCAAATGTGCGAGCAGGCAGCCCTCCCACAGAACTTACTAGATCAAATCAGCGTCCCCTGCCACCGGAGAAGCTTCCATTGTCCACCCCAGACACAAATCCGGAAAAGGACGCGCAGAGCCGCAGCCCAGAGCCCACTTGTGCCCTGTCCCCAGCATAATGACTCACAAGTGCCACAATCTGCATTTTCAGCGGAGCCCTTCAGTCCCCACTCTGAAAAGTCATTTGCATCCTCCATACAGGGCTCCTGACTGCTATATTAATCTCCCATTTGTCCCCTCTTGAGTCATCTAATATTACTGCTGGCTAATTAAAACATCAAAGCCCCAAGCACAACAGCCCTGCCAGAGGCCTCCTAATGGTGGGTTTCCAGCGTGCGGTTCAGCACAGCCCGGGGCGGAGAGTGGCAGGCCTGGCGCTCGGGCCCCCAATTACTTGGCTTGTAATGACCACCCCTTGCACATCTGGAACCTCAACAGATGGCCTCTTTTATTAGGCCTCTTAGCTCTGCTCCCTGCCAGTGAGGGCTGCCGGCTGCCCGCCCACCGGCCACACCCCACACCTCTTCCTCCCGCCTCACTGTGGGCCTGACCATCTGCCCTCCCCACCCCCCGTCTCCATGGGTACTGGGTCCTGGGCCCAACCCCACGTCAGCACCTGCTCTGTAATCACCTGGGATCCCTGTTGCTCCTCAGCCTCCAGGGCGTTAACGTGGATGGTCCAGACAGTTTCTAAGCTGGCTGAGTGACGCCAGGTATATGCGCAGGGTGCTCAGGTGCCCTCCCACAGACAAGGGAGGACCGTTTGTTCCTCACGGGTGCAGGTTGTAGGCCCCATCAGAGGAGTCCGTCACAACAAAGGCCTGCCCAGATGCGACTTCCGTCACCTTGTCTGCTGGAGGAGACAGCAGTGGAGACGGAATCCTAAAGAAGGGTTTAGAATGTCTTTTGAAGCCTTCAAAGGCAGCGGGGTTATTTGTATGCAGCCTCACAAGTTAAATAAAGTTTGGCTGGACAGAAAGTGCCAAAGGGGGGCCAAGGGAAGAACACATCCAGGTCCGTCTTCCTGCTCCCAGTCTGGTAGCAGTGTAGTGATAATACTTCTAGCAATAACAACAGTAATAATACTAGACACTGGACTAGTATTAGCAGAATAATAACACCGATTGTAATAGGTAATGTTAGCCATTGCTAACATTTAGGAGGTGGTTGCTGTCATCCAAGTGAGGGATGATGGTGGCTCGGACAGAGGCGTGGAGGGCTTCTAGAACTATTTAGAAAGCTACGATGGAGGGGCGCGGGGGGCGGGTTAGGCATGGGAGGTAGTGAGGACTCTGTCCAGGAGAGCTCCCTCTGTGGCTCGCCCGGGTGCATAGATAGTGGTGCCCAGCGCCGAGATGGGGACCACTAGGGGTGACTGGATCTGGCCAGGGCAGGGAGGGGTGGGAGATCGTGAGCCACGGCCCCCGCCATTTGTTCTCTACTACTGTTCCCTGCACTGTGCTGTAGCTCTCTTTCATAACGGTGTGCTCCTTTCCCCGAATTCCAACAGGGCGGGATGGGCGCTTTGGCCCAGAGTTGCCCATGGCCAACAGGTGGCTGTGATAGGCCTCTCACCCCAGGACCTTTGCACAGGCTGTTCTCTCTGCCTGCAAGACCGTGCTGGCCTCCCCCAACCCCTTCTTTGTTAACACCTACTTGTCCTTCAGGTCTTGACTCAGAAGTCAAATGCTCTGGGTCAGGTGCCTCCTCTATGTGTTTCCATTGTCCCTTCCATGCTGCCAATGTTCCACATTATTGCACCCATTGCTCTCAATTACAGTGGCTCATTCACTTGTGATTCCCCCTCTCATTGGAACGGTGAACTCCGTGAGGGTAGAGACCACATCTGTCTTGTTTGTCACAGTAGCCCTGGTCCTTGCTGCCTTGCCTAGCACCTAGGAGAGATAGATACTCAATAAACATGAGCTGAATGCGTTCATGAATGAATTAGGCATAGTGGTCAGGAGGCAGGATTGCCACACAGTTAGGGCAATGGTTTGAGAGGTAGACTGCCAGGATTTGACTCCTGGCTCTAGCTTACTAGTTCTGTGTCCTTGGACAACTTCGTTAACCGCTCTGTGATTCAGTGTTCTCATCTGTGAAGCGGGGATAATAAGGTTTTTGCTTAGCACAAAGTAAGAGCTCCCTGAACGGCAGTTTTCGGTAGTAGTCGCTCAGAGTTCTCTGTGCCTTCTGCCCTGGACTTAGCCCCTCGCAGCTCCCTCACTCACCTCAAGTCCTCCAAGCCGATGTAACGTGGCCCTACCTTCTTTCTGATTCTGTCACCTGCTGCTCGCCATGAGTCATCTACTCCAGCCATAGTCGTCTATTGGCTGGTCCTTTGAACTTAACATGCTCACCTCCCCCTCAAGGCCTTTGAACTCGCCTTTCTCCCCTCTGCTTAGTCACCGCCACCTCCCTCTATTTCATATTCTTTGCGCCCCCTGAAATTACGTCGTCCGTGAATTCATTTACATACTATCTCCATCTCTCCCACAACAGTGCTCCGGAAGGTCCAGGACCCTGTCTGACTTGTTCTCCAGAGCGTCCCCAGGGTCTAACAGCCCCTAGCACATCGAAGGGGCCCAATAAATGGCAGTTGAAAGTGTGAAGGCCCTGCCATTGCTCTCCTCTTTGGCATGAGCATCACTCAACATCAGCTCTTCTCCCCTCTCTGCTCAGCGGCCGCATCAGGGTGTGCCTGCTGCCTCCCCCTTACACACTGCGCAGTGAATGAAGCTTGTCTGGTGCTCGGGCACACCTCTGCCCAGGCAGGTAGACAACGACTCAGAAACGACCGAGATAGCATGTGGTCCTTATCCATGAGTCTAAAATGGAGAGGCCAGCGTCACTCAGTCCAGGACTTATCCCCGCAGCTACTGGGCAGTTTGCTTACAGTGGCAAAGACAAATGGAGAACTGAAGGGGTTTAAGACAGAGGGAGCAGGAAGTGCAAAGGCCCTGAGACAGGGGCACACTTGACTATTTTGAGAGGCAGAAACCTAAAATTTGGGGAAAATGCTCTATGCTTCAAATCTTTCTCATGTAAACCTTCTGTTTTCCCAGTACTTGCTAGAAATCATGAGTCTGGGATGTAGCAGGGAGGCCCAGAAAAGCAACTTGACCCCGCCTCAGGTTTGATCCATCCCCCAGTCCTGACGGTTTAATTCTTCAGAGAAACCAGTGGTGTCCTTTGAGTCGTTTATTCATTCGGCACACAGTCACCGAGTCCCTGCTACCTGTCCAACTGGGCTAGACACTGCGGAGTCCCCGACTGCCTTTGGGCTCCTGACCCCAGTCCCCAGAACAGAGCCCAAAAGGCTCTTCTGCGACACCTCCTTCCACAGGGGTGGCGGGACCGGCTTCCCAGACACCTTCCACGGGTCAACCAAGGAGAGTCAGACCCTCCTCTCTGCGCAGACAGTGGGTAGCTGAGCAGACTCCAGGGAGGGCGATGCCTCTCTGGTCCCAGTGGAGACCCTGCCTAACGTCCCATCTTCATTCCCTCCTCAGTCCCCTGCCTCGGGAAAACAGTCCCCCACAAAGAACGGCAGCCCCTCCAAGTGCCCCCGCTTCCTCAAGGTGAAGAACTGGGAGACTGACGTGGTTCTCACGGACACCCTCCACCTTAAGAGTACGCTGGTGAGTATCTCAGGAGGGTGCAGACCGGGATTTATCAGTCTCAGCACTACCCACATTGGAGACCGGATAGTTCTTTGTGGTGGGGACTGCTCCGTGTGTCCACCCAGGGGACAACGGGCAATATCTGGGGACATTTTTGGTTGTCACTACTTCAGGGGGCGCTACTCATACCTAGTGGACAACAGGCCACGAAGTGATGGAAGAGGCTCCGCCTCTTGCTGGAGAGTTTCTATAAAGTCACATTGCAAAGGGTATAGTATAGGGAGAGGAAAACGGGGGCTGTTTTTTGCAATCAGTGTCTGAATGACCATAGATGTGTCTGAATGAGTCACTGAGGCCACGCTGCCAGCACCGTGGGCATCGTTTCTAGGGGGATGCCTGTCACAAAGCCCCTCTGCCCCCAGGGAGTAGAGCAAACATTTTCAGAACCTTAAAGTGCTGCTTAGGGTTCTTTACCTTGGCCAATGACCACGTCCAACGATGATTCGAAGCTGGTACTCGAGAAATCCCACTTGGGAATGAAGGGCTAGGTGAACTTCACCATGAATATCCACTCTGAGTCCACAGCCCAGTACTTGCCACACTTGGGCAAGGCCCAGCGATAGTTCAAATCTCCCCTTTCCACCCAGGAAACGGGATGCAGCGAGCACATTTGTATGGGCTCCATCATGCATGCTTCTCAGCAAGTACGAAGGCCTGAAGACATCCGCACAAAAGAACAACTCTTCCCTCTCGCCAAAGAGTTTATTGATCAGTACTACTCATCCATTAAAAGGTAAGTTCACGGGGAGCCTGGGGGGCGTTACTGAGTACTGGGGACAAAGACTTCAGTTCAGCTTCAGCTTTGCAGGCGGTTGAACCAAGGCCTGTGCATAAGGCCTCTATCTGGCACACTGGCCCCCAAATGTTTTTGTTGGACCTGCAAAGTGTTGCTCACATTTGAAACATTTCAAGCAATCCCACGCCTAGGTGTATACCCTGAAGAAACTTGCACACTTGGGCACAAGAAGGCACACATAAAAATGTTCACTGAAACATTGTTGTAATAGGGAAAAAAATTAAAATTAAAGAACCAGCTGGGAACCACCTCAATGCCATTCGACAAGAGGATCTGCAAATAGAATGTGGTGTTTTCCATAATGAAATACTATACAGCTGTAAAACATGAAAGGGCTGGAACTCTGCATGCCAGTCGGAATGAAGCTCACAAAAGAGAGAAAGGACAAGTTGTAAAAGGATACAGTCCGGACATTTATATAAACATTTTAAACATGCAGAATATTACTGTACTATAATTAATATATGTAATATTGTATATAATATTACTGCATATACATGTTGGCAAAAGTATGAGAATGGTAAGTACCACATTCAAAATAGCTGTCGCTTCTGGGAAGAAAGTGGGCTGCTATGGGGAAGTAGTCGCCAAGGAACTATAATATTAGGTCTTATTTATTTATTATTTCTTAGGCTTGGTGCTTGGTTGTTCATTGTACTATTCTCTATACCTTTTCGTAAGTCTGAAATTTTTTGTAATAATTTTTTGGACTTTCTAAAACGTAATTCATTGCCATCATTTAAAATGAGAAGTTTCCTTTAAAAGTCCAATTTCTGGTTTCGTTTGAAAGAAGATCTGGCGGCAGTGGGCCCCTGTGGCCCTCAGGCAACAAGTGGGCAGAGCCGCGTTGTGGCTGCCCCTTTGGACCAGGCATGGGCTCACCTGTTTGCCGCAGTTCCCACCCAACCGGTTCGCTCACTGCTAGACCTTTGTGGGCATTTTAGTTTGCAGTCTCTACTTTTGCTTGAGCTGTTGTGTCCAGAAATCGACTCGGACTTTCTGTGGCTTCTGGCCTCCTGGAATGGCCCCCTCCTTTCACCAACCTCTAATTTCGGAGAGAAGGTGACACGCCTATCTCCTTTCCCTCCTCACCCAGATTTGGCTCCAAAGCCCACATGGAGAGGCTGGAAGAGGTGAACAAAGAGATTGAAACCACCAGCACCTACCAACTCAAAGACACGGAGCTCATCTACGGGGCCAAGCACGCCTGGAGGAATGCCTCGCGCTGCGTTGGCAGGATCCAGTGGTCCAAGCTGCAGGTAGGGGCGAGGCTCGGGTTCCTCGGTGAGCCCTTTGGTGGAGCGGGTAGTGGGGCGGGGGGAGGGTAAGTTTTAAAATGGCTCAGCTCCTCCCAGGGGCATCTGGAGGCGATGGTGAACCACCAGATCGTTGTCATGGGGTCCCAGGCTCTCAGATCATGACCAAATCTGGTTTAGAGTGATGTCTCCTTTAGCCAACACAGTGCTCATTTTTTAAATAAATTTACATGCCTCTTGGTAGGGCTTATACACTCCCTTTTGTCTCATATCTCCGCTCTTTATTTAACTATATTATTTGCCTACTCACTGAAAACATCAGATCCTGTGTCCCCTTGTGTGATTTTTTTTTTCCCCTGGGGAATAGTTTCAAGTTGGAAGTAGATTAATTATCAAACTCAAGGGGTTCTTGTTTGGGTTTTGCTTTGTTTTTAAATCCCTAGTAACCTAACAGGAAACAATAGCCAGTCCATTGAAAGCCTCCGCTCTCCTCGCCGTCCCTTTCCCACATCACTTACACTCCACGCCTGCATTTAGGGGATTTTCCTGGTTCTGTGGGGCGGCAGCTGGAGTGGGCTCCGGGCTCTCCTCCAGTGGGAATGGCTGGGGGAGTCGAGGAGGGATGGGAGGCCATCAGTCCCACCATGCCCTTCTTCCAGGTGTTCGATGCCCGTGACTGCACCACGGCTCATGGGATGTTCAACTACATCTGCAACCACATCAAGTATGCCACCAACAAAGGGAACCTCAGGTGAGCCGACCAGCTCGGGGCAGGGGCGTCCCCCCACCCACTGACCCTGCGGTCTGCAGTTGGCTCAGCTGGCAAGGAAATCCTCCCCCTCCCACGGGGAGCTGCTCCAAGCTGGGAGGGGCGGCCTGGCATCTTTTGTTCCACCGCCTTGTCCCTTGTCTTTGGGAGAAACAGACTCCCGGTGGCTGCAGAGCTGCAGTGAGAAGGGATGTTTCTCATTCCTGGGAGCAGGAGAATCCCATTGCCAGTGGTGACCTGCTTTTACCAGCTCCTGCTCTGCTGCGTGGAGCAGCCTCAGGATCCCCCTTGGTTGAAAAAGCAATTAATTTGTCCTCCTGCAGCTGTGGGGACTGCTTCGTCAGGTTCCACCGAGCCAACTCCTGCCCCACACGAAGAACAAAGCCGCCAGGAGCAGGCCAAGGCAGGAAGGCCCCGGTGTGGGCCGGTGGCTTTCACCCTGGCAAGTTGCAGCTGGGAAAGGAGCAGCTGGAGGGGCACAGCTGGGTCCCCACAGACGGGCAGTTAAACCTGTTAATGCTGACCAGTCTGTCCCCTGCCCTGGCATCTGTTCCCAGCTCCTAAGGACCAGCCCCATCTTGAGGCCGCTGGAGGGATATTCCCATAAGCCCCCAGGTGACACTGAGCTCATCCCCAAAGTGGCTTGTTGGCCTGAAGCATGGGTTCTCTTGCATGTGTCTCTTCCTCGAGAAGGAACCAGTGTTTGCCAGCTGAGCCTGCCGGTAGGAAAAGGGCCTGCAATCCAAGCTCGGCGCCTGCATGGGGAGTCAGCGCAGTTGGCACTTGAACAGCACGGGTTTCAACTACACCAGCCCGCTTACGTGCAGAATTTTTTTCAAGAAATGCAGAAGATGTATTTTTCTCTCCCTAGTGATTTTTTAAATAATATTTTCTCTAGCTTACTTTAGTGTAAGAATACAGTATTGTAATACATATACAAAAATGTGCTGATTGTTTGTTATCGGTAAGGCTTTCAGGCAACCGTGGGCTATTAGTAGTTAAGTTTTGGGAGAGTGAAAAGTTAGCTGTGGATTTTCAACTGCGCGGGATATGTGCCCCTAAACCCTACATTGTTCATGAGTGAACTGTTTGTCCTTTGACTAGAAGACCTCACCGGTCAGAGAAAATCCTGCATATCCGGAGCGTTAAAGGAGGGCTTGGTCGAGGTCTCAGCCTCACAGAGCTCGTGGGCTATTCTGGTGGTTTTCCAATGATGCTGTGGGGGTGATATGTGGGTGGGGGCTTCACAGGCCAGGCAGTGTGCCTCCACTTTGGGGGAGTCTTCATGAGATCTTCTATTAAAGAAAATATTCAGTTGATTTTTTTTCTACAAATTTGAAAACCACACAGCTGGACACATATATAAGAGCATGATACCACGTATAGAAATAATCTTAACATGGGAGAGAAAAGTAGGCAAGAGAAAACAGAGAAAAGAGGGGGGAAGGGAGAATGTTTTTTATTTATCTATCTATTGAAACATGAGTGAAACTGTTTTTTAAACAATTTTATTTATTTATTTTTAGAGAGAGGGAAAGGAGGGAGAAAGGAAGGGGGAGAAACATTGACTGGTTGCCTCTTGCACGCCCCCAGCTGGGGACCTGGCCCGCAACCCAGGCATGTACACTGACCGGGAATCAAACCAGCAGCCTCTCGGTTCCCAGGCCGGCGCTCAACCCACTGAGCCACACCAGCCAGGGCAAGAGAGACATAATTTAAACAGTGTCGGGTATTCGCCCTGCTGTGTGTTGAGATTAGGCCTAGGGGACGCAGGAGATGAGCGGTGTACATGGGCTGTATTTCCGCTGTTGGTCTCAGTTCCTGCACACAGAGTATGTATCCCGCCCTGCTGTGTATGACTCTGGTGTTTCTAAACATGCTTTCTAAATTTGTATATATACACAAACACCCTTTATCTGGTGCTCAACCAAAGAAATAGCTATGTGTTTTACTGCTGGAGGGAAAACTGATGGTTTGACTCATCTTGTGTCGATTCCCAATATGGCACATTTGCTAAGAGATTTTTAAGAGCATCTCTGGTTCTTTGTGACTTTTACCTTCAGTCCCTGTTCCAGACTCACCGCCAGGTGCGTAGACTCACCGCCAGGTGCATAGCACCAGGTGCATTGCTTCAATGTACTTTTGTCCTGTGCAAAGAGTGAGACCTAAATGTGCTCAGGAGGGGGAACTTGGGAACTAGATGGGACAGGGGATGCCATATGGAGAAAGTGGATTTGAGTCAGGGCTTGGATTTGGAAGCCTGAGAACAGGGAGGGAGTCCAGCGGAGGGAGACGAAGTTCGAGAGGCAGGATGTGTGTGGGAGAAGGTGTGTACGCATTGGGCGGGACCCACGATGCAACTGCCACGCTGACAAGTGTCATAGCCTGGGACTCGGTCCCCTAATGGGACCAATGGATCCAGGTGGCAGGAACTCCTGGCATGAGATTACATTGAACCACCTCATGAAAAGTTGCCTGTCCCAAGACAGTTTCTGTTCGGTGCTCACCCACCGTTCACGGCTCTCTAGCCCTGCAGGTCCCCTTTCAACCAGCAGAGAGCAGCGCCTCCATCAGGCACCTTCGACGGGCGACAGCTGCCATTTACTGGCGGTATAAGGTGTCGCGGCTGCCTCGCTAGGCGGGTGAGGCCAGTGGGGATCTGTAGTTTCGGAGTAAAAAAATGTGAGGACACGGGGAAGGCTATTTCTTTTCTAGTCCTGAATCTATAGACTTTGTTATGGAACGGGGGAGGGGCGCGGGGTGGGGGGGACGAGAACAATGGTGGTAACCACGATAGGAGAAAGACTGGAACCAGAAATTGGTGGTTCATCCCTAATGGGAAGCAGGGTCTACTTTTCTTTCCCTGGAGGTTACCTGCTGCAAAAGAACTCCCTGAAAAATGGCCCGAGTCAAGTTGGTGTGAAAGTCGCATTTGAGAAGCACTCTTTTTCCTTAAGCCTCTTGCTTTCCACCCTTCCTCAGACCGCGGTGCCCCGGAGGAAGAGCGCAGGGCCCCTCCCTACCAACAGCTGCTCCACGGGCCCTGGGGACCTTGGCCTGGATCCCTAGTCATTGGCTTTCCCAGGTGTCACCCAAAGTGCCAGCCCCGCCCTGATACCAGGTGTCCCCTCTCTCCGACACAGGTCTGCCATCACCATATTTCCGCAGAGGATCGACAGCAAGCACGATTTCCGAGTCTGGAACTCCCAGCTCATCCGCTACGCTGGCTACAAGCAGCCGGACGGCTCCATCCTGGGGGACCCAGCCAATGTTCAGTTCACAGAGGTGTGTGCCCCCCGCCGTCCGTGCCCACCTGGGCTCTCGTTCCCCCACCCTACGCTACTTTCACCCGCAGACTTTTCGTGGTTTAATGTTATCATCACAGAGAGAGCGCAGAGGCTCTCTGTATTCTTCCCCAAATCCCCTCCGCCCTCCGACTGCCCCAGTCCGGCTGGTCCTTCCGCAAGTGGCCGATCGGGCATTTCCATGCCATTACCTTGCCCAACCTCGTGATGGGAACCGTTGCCCCCTTTCTCAGGTTGGTAGGCTGAGTCTCACCAAGGCCAAATGAGTTATGCGAGTCAATAAGTGCACAGAAGGAAAGCTAGAAGTGCCGTCCAAGTCCCCTGCCTCCCACCTGGAGGAGAGGAGCTGGCATATGGAAACCACATCTGGCACCCACGTGTTCTGAGTCAGGTGATATGCCAAACTCACAGCACTCCTTCATTCATCTGTTGGCACCGCTATGCTCCCCGTACAGCCCTCTGTGGGCGGACTGGACTCCGCGTGGTACCTGCACAGCCACTGTTGCTGGCGCTCCAAGTCAACACACAGAAGCCACCAGGAACGCAAACACCACCATCCAAGGTTCCTCGCAGGTGGCGATGGGGACAGGTAGCACAGCTAAGGTGCTTACAGCATCTGTGCCCAGAGGAGACACTATGCCTGCCAGGATCTCAGGCACACAGGCCTGGCAACCCCTTTCATTGATCACCCCACTCAATTCCAATTGAAAGTCATCTTTGTCCTTCTTCAGCCCCCCTCAAACTCCACCCAGTACCGCCTCCCCACTCAAAGATGAGCTGGCAGGGCAGGACCGCTCCCTTCCCTCAGTGCTGCTGACTCCATTTGCATCTGGCTCTTCTTATTAAAATGTTGCTCTCCCGAGGAAGGGGCTGTAACCGGGGCGACCAGGAGTCGCACCTGTGCGGTTTCAACTCCGCCAGACTCTCTGCTCTGCTTGGCTGAGCGCTAACTGTCTACTTGGCTGACCTTGTCCTCGTGGCGGCCGAACATGAACGCCGTGGCCTGTCCCTCTCCTTCTGTCTCCAACCGTGCTGACAGGACAGGTTCTCTCTCCTAAGCCCATAATTTCATGCTGCTGCTTTGTGGCAGAAGAGACCACCCAGAACATAAGTACATCAGCTGTATCTCTTGAAGCCCCCTCCCCTGAGTTGTCCCATTCTGCAGCTACTGGGCATGTGCGTCTAGCAAGGGCCCGAGGCACAGGGGTTCACATTGAGACCGGCCCGACCTCCACAACAGAAACCGAAAAAGGGGAGTGACAAATATCTCCTTCATAAGTGCTTATCCGGACTACAGGCTGAAAATAAGATAGTGGATAACATTGCACTAACCTATTTATTATACTTATTAATAAATTAATACATTTATTGGGTTAATAAGTGTATTTGATTGTATGTGAAATAGCTTTAAATATGTCAATATTAAAATTTATTTTAAAATGTATTAACAAATAAGTTATGGTCTCTAATACATTTCATGAGATATTATATACATATTTCATATATTTGTTGAATTAATAGATATATTCATATGTAATTTTAGTGTGAAATATATTGAAATATATTGAAACCAATGCTTTATTTAATACAGTATTAATAGATTAATACTGATATAATTGATATATTATAATTAATAATTATTTAATTATTAAATGTTTAAATTAAAATATATATAAAATGAATACATTAAATTATTTTCACCTTTTGTTTTTTGTTTTGCTTTTTTAAATGTGGCTACCAGAATATTTTAAATTACTTAATGTGACTTGCTTTATATTTTGATTGGACAAATGCTCCTCTAACAGGTGCTTTTTATGCACGAATTCTGATAGATTCGCCCCCATCAAATCTGGCACATTTTCTTTGTAGCTCAGGGCTCCCAATGCGAACACGTCCAGGGGACTGCCTGCCGTGCACCAGGCCTGTGCACGCGGGTGCTGCCGACACAGCAGTCAGACCCAGCCCCTGCCCTTGGGGGGTCCCCAGTGGGCAGGGAAGACCCAGAGAACATAATAAAATGTGGTGCCGAGCCACAGATTTGCCTCCATCCCCTGGGACCCCGAGAAGTGATGCTGGTTACGTGGTGACGTCAGGGAGACCTTGACAAGGGAGGAGTTGTGGTCAGGAGCCTCTGGAGGAAGGGGCTGCTGGCGCCTGCGTCCTGGCCCCTCCCCGACTGCCTTTGTGTCTGGAGGGCCTGGGGCACGGTGGCCGACCTGGTGGCCTGACCTGGCCGGGCCTCTTTGCAGATCTGCGTGCAGCAGGGCTGGAAGCCCCCGAGAGGTCGCTTCGACGTCCTGCCTCTCCTGCTCCAGGCCAACGGCAACGACCCCGAGCTTTTCCAGATCCCTCCAGAGCTGGTGTTGGAAGTGCCCATCCGGCACCCCAAGTAAGAGGGCCTGGCGTGGGGTGGGTGAGGCTGGGCGGATATGCCCGGAGCCCCTCTCTGCCCGTCCCTGTACCCCTGGCCCTCTCTCCAGCCCAGGTACAGGCTGAAAGGGGGTCTTGGTTCCAATCCTCACCGTGGGGCCTGAGAATCAATAATCCCTCCCTGGCCAGCCTGGGGTCTGCCGTTTTTTCTGAAGACATCTCCCTCCCTATGCCACTCCTCAGCTCTTGTCCCAGACCTGCCCTTTAACCCTAAGGGGTGGATCAGCAGAAGTACCTGCTGTCTTGTTGCAGGCACAAATTTTAGATAGAGGGAGCTGTTTAAAACTCTGTGTGACCTGATATGAGTCAAGTCCAAAAGGATGTGGAGCCAGGCAAGGGCTGTGAGGACTGAGGCCATCCAGGCACGCAGAGTTCACACTGTGAGGGCGAAGGGAATCCCATGAGGCCCTGGCTTCGGGGGCAGAATTAGAGGCAGGCACCAAAAATCTCATTAATCAAGATAAATAATATTTTCATGCAACTATTGGAAAAAGTCAACGACTATTAAAAAAAATTTACGGTGCACAATGTGTCAACATTTTAAATAAAGACAGGACCCAACTCAGGGCTGAGATTCAAGAGTCATGCAAGTGCAGGGCAGAATCCTATCGTTATTTAAGATTTTGATCATACCCAAATAACAACTAAATTCCAGTAAGTGCTGCAATCAAAACCTCACAGTGCCCAGAGGCATGAAGTCAACTGATCCATCCCAGACTGGGCCTCATGGAGGGCTTTCTAGAGGAGACCACATGTGAGCTGAGGATTAAAGTGCAAGAGCTGGACAGACACAGAAGGAAGAGAGAAGGTCCCAGGAGGAAAGAACTGCCGAGCAAAGGCCCTGGGTTGGGAAGGGATGCGCTTTCTCCTGGACTAATTTTCAGAGCGGGTTTGGAGGATAAACAGCAGGCCAAGGCGGTGGTTTCCAGGCCTGGGTGTCCATCCAGATCACTTGGGAACCATGTTAAAATGCACATTCTCAGGCCCCAGCTCTGGAACCTGTGATTCTACAGGTCTGAAGCAGAGCCCAGGAATCAGGTCCGGCAGAGGGAGTCCCAGCCAGTCGCTGGCATTTCAGCGTCCCAGGCTAAAGGTGTCCCGCCCCTTGCCTGCCCGTGAGACTCCCGCCCCACGGTGAGGGGGGTCGTGTTGCTCTCCGCAGGTTTGAATGGTTCAAGGACCTGGGGCTGAAGTGGTACGGCCTCCCCGCTGTGTCCAACATGCTTCTGGAGATCGGTGGCCTGGAGTTCACCGCCTGTCCCTTCAGTGGCTGGTACATGGGCACGGAGATCGGCGTCCGTGACTACTGTGACAACTCTCGATACAACATCCTGGAGGTAAGGTCTCCCCTGAGTCACCACGACGGGGAAGCACAAGGCGGGAGGGGCAGGCTCAGCAGCCCAGCTCCACAGCCAAGCTTTGGGGCCTAGAAACTGACAGTGGGTAAAAGCAGCCCTGCGCTCCAGGGAAGCCTCTGGCGATTCGGGAGACCCCCGAGGCACTGGCTGTGCAGGTGCTGTGAGCCAGGCGCTGTTCAAAGCTCTTGGCGTGCGTTACAGGCTCGTTTAATCCTGGCACAGCCTCCGGAGATGAAAACCCCTTTCACAGATGAGGAAACCAAGGCCTTTGCAAGGATGACATGACAAGCTCAAGGTCACGCCCCTAGAAGTAGCAGGGCTGAGATGCGAACCCAATCTGGCTTTATGGTCCAAGTTCATAACCACGGCCTCTCGGTGTCAAACTGTTAGAAGGGTTTGAGAATGACCCATGAACTTGGGACATTTTTGGTCTCTTATCTGAAAAATAAAGGAGGAGGGCTGGCAGTCGCTCCCCACCGTCCGCGTTTCCCAGCGGAGGGTCTGACTTCCTGCCAGGCCGAGTCCTCCTCATCCACTAGGAGTGCTGGGCGGTGTGCTTCCCGGGGCTCAGCTTTGGTGACGGCGGCAAGACTGCCGCGGTCTCGTCTCGTCAGCGAACGTTGTTCCCACAACAATCTGCTGTGGTTGGCCTTGTTTCAGAATGGGACACCGAAACGCAGGGAAGTTAAGTGCTGGGCCTGCGTCGCCCAGTAAATAAGGTAGAGTCGAGATTAGAACTCAGACCCCAGCATCAGTCTTGTGGTTAAAACCCGTGGGTGTTCACGTGGATGGACCTTGGGGGCATAATGCTAAGGGAGCCGAGACAGACAGACAAGGACAAACACTGCATGATCTCGCTGGCATGTGGAACCTAAAAAAACCAAACTCATAAAAAGAGAGGTGAACGGTGGTTACCAGGGGCAAGGTGCATCAGAATTGGGGAGATATTGTTTAAGTTGTACAGATAAATAATTTCTAGAGATCTAAAGCATCGCAACTATAGCCAACAACCCTATAGTATCAACTTCAAAGCTGTTAGGAGACTAGATCTTAATTGTTCTCACCACAAAAAAAGAATTCATTGGGCGGGTGTTAACTAACGCTGCAATGGTGAAGGAGTTACAATACATAAATGCATCCAACATCTTAAACTTGCACAATGTTATCTGTCACTTATTTCCCACTTTAAAAAAATCCCACGGGTGTTAACCTGGAAAACAGAAGCCAGGGGTCCTCAGCCTTGGGGAGCTAGTGATGCCCAGGGTCCCACTCCTCAAGATTTGAATGTAATTGCTCCATGGCCGGTAGGCTGAGGGGAGCTGGGCTTCAGCATTTTTCAAAGCTCCCTAGAAGATTCTACTAGGGGCAGCCACTGATCTGTACAGACTAATAATGGTAAGGAAGAAAAAGACATTTCAGGCAATTTTCATAGAGATGCCTCTAGTCACACTTGGAGATTTTTTGAAGTCATGTGGTCCTCCTTTTCCCACAATTAATTTCTATTCTTTTAACCAAAATAATGTCGGAGAAGTAACAGTAGCAGCATGACTGGCTAGACATACTCTCCTCTTTCATATACTAACTCAAGTTTTATGTGTGTTTATGTAAAGCAGCAGGTTTTGTATGTATTTACTTTTCTGCATGTGTCACTGCCAAAAAAGACCCCAAGCAGAACCTAACGCCGCAAACCCCAAAGGAGCGAATTAGTAAGTCTGCTTCCAGGAGCTGGCTTCCACTCCAGCTGCACCGGGTAAGGGCAGCGAGACTCCCTCCCACCCCTGCCTCCGCCGATTCCAACTGCTGTTGTGGACAGATGTTGACAGCTGAGGCTGGGAAGCGATTTACCCAAAGCTGAGAAATTGTCACCTTCTAGCCCCATAATGAGACCTGGGTTCCCATGAGTGACTAGAATTGACAGAGTAAGTGAAAAGCAAGGCTCTAATTAGTGGATTTGCTCCTGGGTCTTCCCGGCGCTTGACACCAGCCCCTCCTTCGGCTGGAGCTGTAACAGAAATGTCAGGGGTTGTTTTCCCCGAGTACATTCGCCAAGTGAGCCGGCCAGCTCGGGGCATTTCACCGCCTGTCCCTTCAGTGGCTGGAGCTCCCTGGACTCCAGCTCCGAGGCCCCTCCCTGAGCCTCAGTTTTCTCATCTGTCAGATGGAGTCAGGCAGGTGCCCCCATGAGCCCAAAGCTTCCATGATCTAGATTGCAAGTAGCAGCCACTCCAGGGGTGGAGCAGGTTGGGTGGCGAGCTTTTCCTAATAGAAAGTAGATGATGTTACTCCTGGACCCACATCTCTGCTTAAAACCCTGCAAAGACCCTCCTTGTCACATTTGGAATAAAAACCCTGGCTCCTTGCACATTCTTCAAGGCCCTGCGTGACCCAGTCCTGCCCTTCCCACCAGCTCCGCCTGGCTCTCCACCTGCCATGCGCACTGGCCTCCGTTCTGTATCTCGATGCTGCCAGCCCGGACCCGCCTCGGGGGCTTTGCACATGCTCTCTCTCCCCCTAGAATCTCCCCCGCTCTATCGGCAAATGCCTTGCTTTTTCTCATCCTTTCGGTCTCACCTAGTATGCCACCTCCAGAGTGGGCCTCCCTGAATTGTGGTCCAGTTCGTCCTGGCCCCCATCCCTCCTCGTCTTATTTGTTTATAGGCACTAGCAGTCATCACAACGTGAACTGCCTCTCCCCCCTCCTAGAAGGCACGCTCAGTAATAAATGACCAGCCACGTCTCTCCTGTTTCCCGCCCTCAGTAAGAAATCTTCGGAGTGAGTGAATCAGTCTGCCAGCGAGTCGGTGAATTAATTAAGAAGTTCATGCCACTAGCTGGCCCTGTCGCTCGTTAGGCTGAAGTGCCCCAGGCTGTGAGTCTGTGTTCCCTTCCCCTTTCAGGAAGTGGCCAAGAAGATGAACTTGGACATGAAGAGGACGTCCTCCCTGTGGAAGGACCAGGCGCTGGTGGAGATCAACATCGCAGTCCTCTACAGTTTCCAGGTAGCGCCGGGGCCCCGGCTGCCCAGCCTCAGAGAAGAACGAACCCTTTCTGAGCCTCGGAGCCGAAGGCTCAGGAGCCCTCACCGCTAGGAACCAGTGAGGGGGGTCTGCTCACCAGTGAGGTCCGGCATGCCTTCCTCGCCAGTGTGGGTCTTGAGTGTGGACGACTTGAGAAAGAGATGACCGATAGGGAGGTTGTGACTTGTCACCTATGATTTTTCAGATTGAGATAGCAGGCATCACCTGTTTCTTGCTTAGGGACTTACAGACACATTATGATCAGAGGCACATGGGCCCCTTGGTGCATGCAGCCCCATGGTGAATGGTGTTTATAGTAGAACCGTATAAAATTTATCACTGGAACCACGCCACTTTTGAGAGCAAAGGTGGGGCACCACTAATTATTGTGCCAGGACAATGGGCATAAGCCAGGATTCTTCTGGGCAGACCAGGAGACACATAGAAGCCATGGTCTGTCACTGACACCAGCTCTGTCCTCTGGGGGCTGGCGGTCTGGGAAGCTGGGCCCTCATGGACATACATGGGAGGCACACACAGTAAAATGGACATATCCAGTCACGGACACATGGCTATAAACCGTGGGTCCCGTGTCAGGAGTCAAGCGAACGGGCACACTGAGAAACGTCTCAGAAAAAAGACAAGCTGCGATGGGGCTGGGGGGAGGGGGGAGATATCAGGAGTCAAAAACGATGGAGTGTGGCTTGGTGACCAGTGTGAGGGCCAATGAACCAGAGACAGCAGCGGTGAGTGAGATGGGTGATTAAAAAAGACAAGGGTTTTCTAGCCACTCATCTCACGCACCTCTAGGCTGGGGACAAGGGTGTGCGGGCAGAGAGGGAAGGCGGTGGTTAGCGAAGGTGTGAATCCCAGCCAGCTGTGCACCCGGACACCGCGCCGCCTCTGCTGTGACGGACTTGTTTAATTTTAATAAACTCAACTTTATTAGTTTAAATGTTTTATTATAAGAGGATTTTGTATCGCCACCCTAAATGGAGAGCCAGGATTAGTTGCCATAGATAGAAGAGAATTGTACGTTTAAATAAGTAAACAAACAAATACAGGGAATAACAGTAATGAAGTCGTTAAATTCTAATCAAATAAGAGAGAGGTTCCCTGCATTTGAAAACAAGGGGGGGAGTGGGAGAGGAGAGAGGCAAGAGAGGCGTTAAAGATACCTCAATATACCAGAGACTTCCTCCTGGGTACGATCAGAAGGAGAAATGCAGAGAAGCACTGGATGCTGCCTAAAATCATCTCCAGGACCCCGCTTTGGGAAACACCGCTCTGTGGGGCAGCCCTGAAACACCCCAGCTTCCTTACCTCTGACTCCTCATTCCCTCTCCACCCGCAGAGTGACAAAGTGACCATCGTCGACCACCACTCGGCCACCGAGTCCTTCATCAAGCACATGGAGAATGAATACCGCTGCCGGGGGGGCTGTCCCGCAGATTGGGTGTGGATTGTGCCCCCCATGTCTGGCAGCATCACCCCTGTCTTCCACCAGGAGATGCTCAACTACCGGCTCACCCCCTCCTTCGAATACCAGGTCCTGCCCCCTCCCTGCCTCTGCTCATGCTCAGTCTTCAGTATCCTTGTGTGTTATGATTGGAGCAGGTCTCAATCCAGATCGGCACTTTGGACACTCAGGTACTCGGTAGCCATGCCTGGTTAGCGGCTACCACCTGGGACAGCACAGCTCTCGCTGGAAGACTAGTGGAGATGAAATGAGTAGTCTGGGGTCCCAAGGAAAGTCTGGGGTCTAGTGGGACAACGCAGGGAGGCTGTGCAAGGACTCTGTGGTCACCACCAGCAGAACCACTCCTTTCAGAGGCTGAGGGCTGGGCATGGCTGGGCAGCCACAGGCCTCCAGGGGGTCCTGAGCCTCTCCCGGGAGGAGTCAGATGCCCTCAGCGTGGTAACCTTAGTCCTGTCTTCCCAGCCTGACCCTTGGAACACCCACGTCTGGAAAGGCACCAACGGGACCCCCACAAAGCGGCGCGCCATCGGCTTCAAGAAGCTGGCAGAGTAAGTCTCCGGGAGTAGGTGAGGGTATACGTGCCTCCAGGCTCAGAAAGCCCCAGAAAAGGAGGCCAGGCGGATAGCCATGCCTCTGACTTCTCGTGTGATAGGAGTACTTTCTCCGTCCCCACCCCCAATGCCTTCTTTGCCTCAGAGTCTGGGATGTGAATATCACCGCAATGTTTCTCCTTCCTAATTTTACTTTCCTCGTCCAGTTTTGTAAATTCCTTTCCTGGAGGCCGTGGTGTGTTGGTAAACCAGCTTTTTCTTATAATAATATTTAAAGTGATAATAATAGTAGATTCGTAGCATTTGCCAATTGCTGCAGTTGCACAGTGGGAGTGCTGCGTTCCCACTATGACCAGTTTTAAGCTCCCAACAGGAGGTCATTAAATCTGAAGCAGAGAGGAGCTCCGGAGCGTCCCTGCCTAGCCGCGCCCTTGTCCAGGGCTGAACTCTAAATGTCACCCATTCATTCGTTCGTTCATTCATTTGGACAACACATGAGCGCTGAGTGCCTGCTCCGTGCCAGGCCCTGTGCTGGGCTCCAGGGATGCCATCCTGAGCCGGATAAATGTGGTCCCAGCCCTCCTGAAGTTCACAGCCATCTGCCAAAGAATCATACAAATGGTCAGCTCTGCAAGTGCCACTGAGGAACAATCCATGGTGTCCTGCGGCAGCCTTAACCAAGTTTGGGAGGTCAAAGAAGGCTTCCTTCAGACGACAAGTGAACTGAAGAATACGTTAAGCCCTAACTGGGCACAAAAGGGAGGGAAGGGGGTTATGGACCAAGGCTACTAAAGAATAACTGTCCTGAAGAACACATAGCTGGCCAAGGGGCCAGCTGACAAATGGGATGGGGCCATCTGAGATGCTTTAACGGGGCTGCCAGTCTTCACCTAAAGCAAGAGAGCTCCACGGGTCCGCTCAGAGACGCCCCCTGTGTGGAGCTAACTTTTTGGCTTAGGAGCTAGGTATGCACTGAGCTCCTTACTCTCTGTCCTGAGTGCCCCTTGGGTCCAAAACTCTCTGTGCATGGTATGTAGTTTTAAAAAAAGTGCCAACCATGCCACGGAGCACAGAAGCAGGGCACTGGTGGGTCTTGCAGGGACTCAAACGCAGGTGCTGGCTTGGATACTATGGCCCACGGTGTCTCTCCCTCTCTGCCCTTCTCTCTCCTTCCACACAACCCCATCTTCCAGGCACGCAAGGTCACGTCAGCAGCCATTCTTTCCCTTACGAGAGAATCCCAGATATCCTCAGGGACGGCAGCCATTGGCTTCTGTTCAGTTTAGCTGTCTTTGGGTGAAGAAAGGAGGGAGAAATCTAAAACATTAATTGCACTATTAAGTTTGGGGTAGGCACAATGGAAGTTAATTATAGCTGCTTTTTAATGCCTCCATCCTTCTAAGGGAGCCCCCCAGGCACCTCTTCTTTCTCCCCGTTTCTCCCCCTTAGCCCGAGTGCTCCTGCAGCGTGGGTGGCTTCCCTGATTCTAAAAAATGATGAATTTACCACCAATAATTCCCAGGTGGAAGCAATTAGCAATTTGTCTGCAGGGAGATACCTACTTAGAGCAGGGATGTTTGCTCAGAAGGTGAGCCCAGACTTTCCTGAGGCTCTGGCCTATCTGCCAACCCTGGGCCCTCGTGGATGGGAAGGAAGAGCGGTGCTTCTGAGCTCCCCACTTCACTCCAGGGCCTAGGCTTGGCATCTGAACTCCCAAGTGGTAGCAGCGTCTTTCCAATTCGTTCCTTCTTTCGCTAGATATGTATTTAGTGCCTGTCAGGTATCAGGGTCTATGCAAGACCCTGGATATGCATGGCTGACTAACCCGGACTTGGGCCTTCCTTTGTGGGCCACAGCGCCTCTAAAATCCCTTCAAACTCAGCACCTGGTGGTTTGTTAGTGATTCATTCCTCTCTCTCTCTCTCTCTAACTCTCTCTCTCTCTCTCTCTCTCACATGCACACTAATGTTAACTCCATGACAGCTGCTTGTCCATACTATATTTTCTATGTTTTTCAGCTTCTATAGCAATGCCTGGTACACAGGCACATAATGAACATTCAGTGAATGAACACATGAGTGCATGAATGAATGATCATCTTTTGGGGTCAGTGCTTGACAAAGCAAGATTCTCAAGACTGAGATTGATCCACTAAGTAACAACCCAACAAAATTAACCAACCATTTTAGCCCCTGACTCATAGCACTGAGGGATTTAATAAGGAGTCAAGGGGTGTCTAAACTCAGGCTTTGAGTGTCCCCGAGGCCGTCCAGGACCAGAAGATGAAGTTCTCTCCAGCTGTATTTCATGGATCATTGTTCTTGCCCAAAAGTCCCAGCCTGACATTTCCCAATTTCCTCTCCACCCTCTTCCTCCAAGAGCCGTCAAGTTCTCGGCCAAGCTGATGGGGCAGGCAATGGCCAAGAGGGTCAAGGCAACCATCCTTTACGCCACAGAGACGGGCAAATCGCAGGCCTACGCCAAAACCTTGTGTGAGATCTTCAAACACGCCTTTGATGCCAAGGTGGGTAGGGGGCCCTGGCAGCTCTCCAGACCCCGGGGTAAATACAGTTGGGAGGGGACAGAGGAGATTCAAAGTAGAACCCTCTGAGAACCGATGCCACACACTCACGTTCTCATAAATTTCAGGGGACTGTGCTGCCCCTCTCCCTCGGAATCATCCAGGGGTCTAAAATGAAACCCCCATATCTAGAGCAAAATGTTAGAGTTCTATGAAAATCAATTCTGGAGTCAGTTTAAGAAGCTCTGCATTAAATACAGTTCAGTGGCTCTGGCTGGTGTGGCTCAGTTGGTTGGGGTGTCATCCCATAAACCAAAAGGTCACAGGTTCAATTCCCAGGCAGAGCACTTGCCCAGGTTGTAGGTTCGATCCCCAGTCAGACTGCGTATGAGAGCCAACAAATTGATGTTTCTTTCTCACGTTGATGTTTCTCTCCCTCTCTTTCTCCCTCCCTTCCCCTCTCTCTAAAAATCAATACAAAATTTTAAAAAGTAAATACAGTTCGATGGGTTTCTTTGCTGCAGGACTTCTCAGAGCCTTTAATCTGCACATATGTGTTATCATCCCCAAGAGAGGAGGGCAGAGAATGCAAATGTTTCTCAGTATGTTTATGGCTCCTGTGTTTTCAAGGAGCATGTCCGGAAACTAGGCTTCCCTAGAACCTACTTTGAGAACTGTTGCTCAAGCGATGCTAAGATACAGGGCAGCGGTCTTTCCCTCAAGCGGTTATCTCAGACTTGTTCGGCCCCGGCCCTCCGCTCTGCTGGAGAGAGGATTAGAAAGGAGGCTGAGCAGACAGTTGGTCTGACTGGCCAGCCAGGTCATTCCCAGCCTAGATGAGGTCAAGGAGATTCCAAGAGCCGTTGGTTATCAAAAGCTTCAGGGTCTCAATCAGGACCTGTCTCTATAGGCAGCCAACCCTGGGCACCATTGTCCCTGATTCCCTGCGGTCCCCTGGGCCACAGTGACCACAGAGAGGTCCCATGCTACCAAAAAGCTTTCAGATCAAACACTTGAGCCCGTTGAAGGAGTGACACCCAAACTTTTGGTTTTTCCAAGCAAAATGGCTCAAGATGACTCACCTTTTTCCTTTCTCGCTCTTCTTCTCCTTCCCCCATCACTCCTTGCTCTCTCCCACCTCCTCTCTCTCCTCATCACCTCTTCCTTCCTCTTCCCGCACCATTCTCCCTTAGGTGATGTCCATGGAAGAATACGACATTGTGCACCTGGAACATGAAACTCTGGTCCTGGTGGTCACCAGCACCTTCGGCAATGGTGATCCCCCAGAAAACGGGGAGGTAAGATGAATTTTCACGTGTTCTACATGTGTTTCCGTCAGCAGGAAGAAGGAGGGGCCACAGTTACACCCACTATTCAGTAGCAAATCCTCCCAGAGCCTCAAAGACAGCGATTTCAAGCCCTGGCCGGTGTGGCTCACCTGGTTGGAGCATCGTCCAGTAACCAAAAGGTTACGGGTTAGATCCTCAGTGTCTGGGTACGCACGGCCTCCAACCTTGGCATATGAGAGAGGCAGCCAGTCGATGCTTCTGTCTTCCATCAATGTTTCTCTCCCTCCCTTCCCCTCTCTCTCAGAAAGCAATGAAAAAAAATGTCCTCGGGTGAAGATTTTTTTTTTTTTTTTTTAAAGACCGTGATTTGAGTTTGGATCCAAGTTTGGCAAAGACTGGACAATTCCAAGTCCTCGGTCTATTGGTGAATCACTGACTCCTTGTGAAAATGCCGTCCCCTGAGTGAGCCACTTCTTTGGAATGGGTGCTCCAACCAAGAGCTTAGTGTCCCTGCTCCAGAGGAGAGAAGTGGGGACAGTATTTTTGTAGCGAGAAAGCCAGAACAGGGCATTGTGTACTAGGGCGGGGGAGTCCACACCTGCAGCCCTTTAAGCAGCTGACCCTTCCAGGTGCGTCCACAGCTCAAGCATTGGCTGCCCGCCCGAGCCCCTCCCCCTCTCGGGCATCCTGGCCCCACAGGCATGAGGCTCCTCTTTTTCCAGCTAGGACCCCAGACCGTCAGTGCCTGGCCCTATTCTGACTTAATAGCATACGCTTTGCATCTCACTTGTCTCCTTTGGTCTGCAGAAGTTCGGCTGCGCTTTGATGGAAATGCGGCACCCCAACTCTGTGCACGAGGAAAGGAAGTAAGTGAATGACCCTCCAGTGCCACATGACACCCCGTGGGTGTAACTGAAAATTGTCTTTTGGCCCTTGGGGTTCACCTTTGAGTTCTGGATGGATGGTGGTTGTGACCTAACATCCGTTTGCCGCTGATTTGAGCAGGCGGGTGTCTGTGCCCCACTGGGGCTGGTATTTTGGGCTCTGACTTGAAGGTCTTGGGTTGGTCACTGCACAGCCCTGTGCCTCAGTTTCTTTTTCCCATGAAATAGGGGTTAATTCACCTGCCTGAACTTTCTAATTTGTAAGAGTCAAATTAGAAAATAGATGTCGCATGTCCTGTGAGAAGTTACGAGCTCTGTGTAAATATCAGTTCTTATCCCCTGCCTTTGGAAACCAACATTCAGAATCCGTGAAATGAGCTGCCGTCCCTGGAACATGTCCATCTGATGCTCATGATGGAGCGGCAGCTAATGTGGAGGTTGCCTTCAAAAGGCAGCAAAGAAATGCCTGTAGTCAAAAGATGTTCGTGGTGAAGTTGCATCTAACGTGAGGGTGCATCCTTAAAGATATTTCTTAAGGTGAAAGACACCTGTAGTCAAAATTACCCTTGGAAAGCCCTTAAATCCCCCATAAAGCCGAGAGCATATGGCACGGGCATACTGAGCCGCCTTCCGATGAGGCCAGCACAGCGTTTCCTCCCGCACAGGACCGATCCATGTCTTCAGCTGAGCATCGAATACTGTAGCTGGCGGTTCTGTGCAGAAACCGCCTCTTGGTCTGCTTGTAGCCGAGCACACGTTGCCAAACTCGCATATGTCCCGTATCCAAGGGAGAGCTGAGTCCCTGCCCTCAGTGCTCGTCTGTGCCCAACTCCAGCGCCCACTGTCCTTGCCCTTCTCCTTCCCAATGCCTCCTGGGTGGTCTCCCGCAGGTTCCCCTCACCCCTCCTTCAGGGAGAGATAGGGCACCATCCGTTCTCCCCTCTAGGTACCCGGAACCCTTGCGTTTCTTTCCCCGTAAAGGGCCTCCCCTCCCCCGAGGTGACAGCGAAGTCTATGGTCTGGCTGGAGCCTGTGACAGCCAGCGCAGGTAGAGCGTGTGTGTGCCGGTGTGCATGGGCGTGCATGCATGCAGCTGTGTGTACACATGTGTGCATGCATGTCTAAAGCCAGAACACCCAAGGCCACGTTCAGGTCTCAAGAAGGCCTGAGTTCTAACCCAGACTGTGCCACTAACTCTCTAAGCAACCTTGAGCAAGTCCTTAGACCTTGCGGAGCCTGTCTTTCTCATGCATGGGAGGTGCTCCCTCTGCCCTGGCCACCTCTGGGAGTTATTAGGAGGATGGAAGGCTAACAACAAAGAGGAAAGCACTTGGAAAGACCCCAAGCCTCATACAAATGTATGTGTTGTTATTCTTACCCCACCCACCCCCACACTAACAACATAGCCACCCCCTGATATGTTGCATGACTTATTTGGAGAAGTGACTCAATGTGCAACTATTTTAGGGCAGAAAATACACTTACGTATATTTAGAACTTCCCCAATGCTGAAGTGAAAACTTTGAAGAACATCCAGCTTAGAGACCCTGCTGCCAGATTGCACTATTTCTTTTTTTGTCTTTTGCACTCAGTTTGATATATTGAGTTTTTGTGTTTTCATTTTGTTTTTTGTTTTGGAGTTTGGGTTTTTTGTTTTGTTTGGGGGTTTTTTGGGGGGGAGGTCTTGAGGACCTTTTTGGTTTGTTTTATTTTTGTAATAAATTCATTGGGGTAACATTGTTTCTTAGGGCTTGTTTTGTTTTATTTTATGTTTTGTTTTTACCCTGTCTGAGATCAAAACTTGCCACTTTTAGGGGAAAACTTTGAAACTGGGTTTTTCCCTGTAAGTCTTAAGGCTCATGAGCCTCTAACGCTGAGGTTTGAGCCCCAGTAACATCTTCCTTCCCCTCAAAACAATTTAATAAGAAATCCAGACTCTCCAGGCCATGTGTCATGCTGAGCATTTTCACATCGACTTGAAATGTGGGATGTGACAGACCCTTGGAGTGTCCGAGGACCCTAACTTTGCAGGAAAACACCATCAAATAAAACTTTCTGGGATGCTGTGAGTGGTCTGTATTTCTGCCCCCGCCCCGATACAGCAGCCACGAGCCACATGAGGTTGTTGAGCCCTTGACACGTGGCTAGTGCAAGTGAGAAACAGAATTTTTCATTATGTTTAACTTGAATTAATTTAACTTTAAGTGTACATAGCCGCAAGTCGCCAGTGGCTACCGCAGTGGGCAGTACAAGCCTAGGCCCTGGCTGCTGGAAGCATCGGCCTCTCCTGGGTGTTTATTTGAAATGCAGACTCTCAGGCTCTGCCCCAGATCTGATGAATCGAATCTGTCTAACAGGATCCCAGGCTGGTTCTTATGCACATTAAAATTTGGGTAGCAAGGAAGCATGGTCTAATTTTAGGGGGTGGTCTATTCCTGGCTTCTTGCCAATGAAATCATTCTGCCTGTCCGGGTCTCAGTTTCCTGAGTCGAGTGTGGCCAGACACGTTTTAGCACACCCAGCGTCAAGTATGGATGGCCAGCTGTCACTGTGGTGGGCGAGGGTAAGTTGGTACGTTGCAGAGGCCTTTCGAATGTTGTGGTCTCACTCACCACACAGGAGAGGGTCCTAGAACAAGGACTGGTCAGTCAAAAGTCCTTCAGGATGTGGACCTCAGGAGGGGCTCCAAGCCAGAGCTCATGACTCTCTCTCATTTTGGCAGGAGCTACAAGGTCAGGTTCAATAGCGTTTCCTCCTATTCCGACTCCCACAAACCATCAGGCGACGGGCCGGACGTCAGAGACAACTTTGAGAGTGCCGGCCCCCTGGCCAATGTGAGGTGAGCAAGGGGCCAGGGCCTCGGGGATGATGAAGGCCCTTGGGGACCTGGACTTAGTTGCAATGTGGGCTCTCTGTTGGGCGGAAGGGGGTCTCTTCCATGCCCACTCATGCCTCAAACAACCAGCCTCACCCTGGCTGCACCCGACCCCTCTTCAAACGCACGCCCTCAGGGCCCCTGCCACCCATGTCTTACCCGGTCAGGCACATTTCACCCCCCATCAACACATCATTTGTGATGAAGGGTGTCGACCCTAGAAATTCTGCAATGAGCTGCCCTTCCCAAGGGATATGTTTTGCATTTAGCAGAAGCTTCTGGAGACCCACTGCCACAAGCCAGTGGCTCTCAAGCCAGGTGTGCATTAAAAGCATCTAGAGACGTTTGCAATATACTCATAACCAAGCCCCTTCTCCAGAGATTCTGGTGTAATTGGTCTAGAATTGGGCCCAAGCATTGCTTTTTAAAAATAAAAAATCTCCTCAGTTGACTCCAATGTCATCAAATTCAAAAATACTGGCCTACCCCTGTGTTTTCAAAAGCATAGTCACATGCCATGAGGTAGCCCTAGGTAGTACATGGACATACACGTATATTTTGTATTTTAACAGTTGTGTATTCAGTTTAATGGATATTGGGGAAGACACAAAACTGGATGTCAAACCCTTGGTTTCACAGATAGTGGTCAAGACGAGGCTGATAGAAGCCGAATATCCAGGCTTGGCCAAGAACCTCTAACTAAACCATCTCTGCAGCTGCTCAGGGCAATGCTTAGTAGATGGTGCAGGTCACAGGGTCCCTGGATATGGAAGTATTGTGTCCATCGGTACACTTTTTAATAGACGTAATGTTTTAAGCAGTTTTAGGTTCATAGCAAAACTGGGAGGAAGGCACAGAGGTTTCCCATATACTTCCCATCCCCCAACACACACACACAAGATTCCCCATATACTTCCCACCCCGCAACGCGCACCCACTAACAGCTTCATCCGCTGTCAACATCCTGCACCCCAGGGGTGCGTTTGCACAGCGCATGAGCCTGCGCTGACACATCGGGATCTCAGAGTCCGTAGTTTACATTAGGGCTTGCCCTCGGTGGTGGTCATTCTTACAGGTTTTGATATCAGTACAGTTTTCAGCTTGACATGGAAACATCGGCTGCACAGTTTTGCAGTCAGACCTATTTTTCCCTTATTAAGTCCACCGTGGCTCAGAGAGGGCGACTGCGAGCTATAGCCCGTGGCCCAAATACAGCCGGGCCACTGTGTTTTTGTACAAACATGAGCTGAGAATGGTTTTTGCAGACGAACACTTGCAATTCATTTAATGATTTTTAAAAAAATACTACGTGTGAGCCCCAATTAAGCAAAATGTTATCTGCTCCAAAAAGAATTGCATTCTCATTAGTGGACATGTATTACTAAAAATTGTACTCAGCTATAATTACTATCATTATTATTATCATATTTTTAACTTTGTACATAAAAATGTGTGGAAATTTGTTTTCTTTCTTGTTATAGAAGTATCTACATAATAGTTTCAATTTTGCTTCTTTGCCTGAAAGTCTAAAAATATTTACTCTCTGGCCCCATATATAATAAGTTTGTCAACTCCTGGTTTAGATGCTTAAAAAAGGAATTTTGAACTCACAGGGTAAAGGCTGTGCTAGAAATGCGAGTCTAGGAAGTGACGATGATGCAGGTCTTCAGATGCATCGGGAAGCATATTCATGAACTGATCACTTGAACCATCTGTTAGTGAACACAAGTGGGCTTGATGAGCTTGTAAGCACAAATTAAAAGCAGGCTAACACGCTAATAAGTAACTTAACAGGATTGGTGGTAGTTCAGTATGGTGGATGTCGCAAAGATAAACATTGGAGCTTTGGAGAGCAGTGCCTTAGCAACATAGCATGCTGGTGCTGCGAGTTTGCAGATCTGCATAGGCTTAAGTCACACCTCCAACCGGTCCACTCCTTGTCACCCACTCTCTCTGCCCTTCAGGCTGCTGCCCTGCAAAGGAGAGGTGAGGAATCCAGGTCCAGGACGAGCATAGGTAGAGGAGTGATGGGGGGAAATGTGGCCAAATCTCGCAAACTTTCCTTGGAGCGGCTCTGGAACCCCAGGGGGAAGAGCAGGGCAGGAAAGAAGGGGAGAGTGAGAGCAGAAAGCATGAATGTGGACTTGAACGGAGTGGAGATGAACCTATGTTCACTTTCATTTGACTTGTGAGACACCTGGACCTAGCTCGGGTTCATTCTCCGATGATGGAGAGTTTCTTCCCACGTCTCCTGCCTCGTTCCCTCCTCCCCCATCTCAATCTCTCACCATCTTGGCCCCCGCATCCTAAAAGCGAGATCCAGGGACAGAGCTAGACCCTGAATGGGGTCGGATGCACAGCTCCAGTCCTTGGCTTGTCAGCAGAATACTCCGACCTGGGAGGGAAGTGGGGTGGGGCGTTCTCATCCTACTTATGAACCTGTCATTTCAGTTCCAAAGAGGTCAAGACCTACACCCAGGACCACACCCTGGAAGTGTGACATCAAGTGTCTGTAGGACACAGTGAACTAGCAAGAGGGGCCACCTGAGGCACAGCCCTCCACTGCCCATACTTGAAAGCAGCCTGCCCCATCTCAACATAGACAAAAATCCCACCCACTTGACCCCCAACCATTCAAACAGCAACATCTCCTTGGGGGTAGCTATGCAAAGAGGGTTTGTGAAGCTAATTAATTTCATAGACATTGCAAGGGGTGGAGCCAGCATGTTTACCAATCTTTCATCCCCTGTTAGAAGAGCCTGTTCACACACCAGTATTTGATGGGTTAGCAAGTCCTCCTGATCTCATTCATGTAGGTCCCTGAGGACTTCTGTGTTCTAGCGTTCATTACCTTTGTACTTAAACCTAATCTAGCTTTGTAGAATTACAGAACGTGTAGAATTTAAGCCTGCTGATCATGTAGACTAATTTCCCAAATTAGTCCAGCTTAGAAACGGACACACAGGAAATAGCCAGTGGTTCCGCATGATCGCTGTCCCAGCTCGTCCTCCTGAGGACAAACTGGGAATTTTCCCCTGGGGGCGGTATCCCTAGCAGAGCCAGAGGAAAGGGGCTGTCCTGGGGACTCTCAGATCTAACAGTGGCCTCCCCCAAATAGGCTTGGGGTTGCCTGACCACTGTGGCTAAACTCAGTCCTTCTGGAAATACCCGATGGATTAGTCTGCTTGGGTGGCCATAACAAAATACCACAACCTAGATGGCTCCACCAACAGAAAGTTATTTCTTTCACTGTTATGGAGGCTGGAAGTCCAAGGTCAAGGTGCCAGTAGGAATGGTTCCTGGCGAGGCCTCTCTTCCTGGCTTGCAGACAGCCACCTTCTTGCTCTGCCCTCACATGACTTTCCACTGTACACATGCAGAGAGAGAGACAGAGAGTCTCTGGAGTCTCTCCCTCTTCTTATAAGGACACCAGGCCTATTGGATTAGGGCCTCAACGTTATGACCTCATTTAATCTCAGTTACCGCCTTGAGGCTCCACCTTTAAATACAGTTACACTGGCAAGTAGGGCTTCAACATATGAGTTTTGGGGGACATACTTCTATTTATAATGCCAGGCACTCCCAATACCACCAGAGTCCCTAAACACAGGCTTTCTGTTCTCTTATTGGTAGGTTCTCAGTGTTTGGCCTTGGCTCACGGGCATACCCCCACTTCTGCGCCTTTGGACATGCCGTGGACACCCTCCTGGAGGAGTTGGGAGGAGAGAGGATCCTGAAGATGAGGGAGGGGGACGAGCTCTGTGGGCAGGAGGAGGCTTTCAGGACCTGGGCCAAGAAGGTCTTCAAGGTACCCACCTTCCCAGATCTCAGAGACCCGGGGGGAGAAGCCATACTCCCATTGACCCCAAAGACAGACTCCCTGAACCATCAGAAACAGAAGAAACTTGAGAGATCCCGTGGTACTTCCCCCAGTATCCACCCAGGAGACAGCTTTAAACAACTCAGATGAGTCCGGGTGGCCTTAAACCGCATTCTTCACCCTGAACCCAGCCTCCTGCCTTAGGGATAAGGAATTGGTCTACAAAAAAAAATTATAAACCCACCTTGGAATTTCACAGCTGGAGGGGTCCATGCCTCACTCTCATTCGGTTGACAAGCAGATAAAACACAGAGCTGGTTAACCAGCCCAAGGGCCGTGCCTCGACCTAGAACTCGGATCTCAACTTGTCTACTTCGAAAAGCTTATTCCTCCTGTGCTGGAGATTCCCTGGCCAATATGGTGGCCACCAGTCACATGTGGCTATTTAAGTTTAAAGGTAAACTAATTCATGCCCTGGCCGGTGTGGCCCAGTTGGTTGGGTGTCCTCCCATAAGCCCAAAGGTTGCAGGTTCGATTCCCAGTCAGGGTACGTGCCTAGGTTGTGGTTTCAATCTCAGGTCGGGGTGCGTACAAGAAACAACCAATCGATGTTTCTCTCTCACATCGATGTTTCTCTCTCACATCGATGTTTCTTTCCCTCTTTTTCTCCCTCCCTTGCCCTCTCTCTAAAATCAATAAGCATGTTCTCAGGTGAGGATTAAAGAAAAAAGGTAAACTCATTCATATTAAATATGATGAATGGGTAAATAAAATACAGTATGTTATGCAATGAATGCTATTCAGGCCTAAAAAAGAATGAAGTACTGACTCATGCTACATCATGGATGAACCTTGAAAACATGATGCTAAGTGAAATGTCCGTAATAGGCAAATCTGTGGAGACAGAAAGTAAATTATTGGTTGCCAAGTTTCGGGGAAGTGGAAATGGGAGTTAATGCTAATGGGTTCAGGGTTTCTTTGGAGTCATGAAAATGTTCTATAAGTGGATAGTGGTGGTGGTTGCACATCCTTGTAAATATACTAAAAAACACTGAATTGTACATTTTTACATGGTGAAGTTTATATTATATGAATTATGTCTTCTCTGTAACAACATATAACTATAAAATACGGTTCATTTATATATTATATACTAATGCTATATTACTTCAATATATTCTATATTAACTTACATATGTATAAATTGAATTGATGGGTGGATGGATGGAGGTGGGTGGGTGGATGGATGGAGGTGGGTGGGTGGGTGGGTGGGTGGGTGGATGGAGGTGGGTGGGTGGGTGGGTGGGTGGATGGAGGTGGGTGGGTGGATGGAGGTGGGTGGGTGGGTGGGTGGATGGAGGTGGGTGGGTGGGTGGGTGGATGGAGGTGGGTGGGTGGCTAGAGGAGGATGGATGCCTGACAGGATACACGCCGTGTCTTGGAGCTGCTGGAGAGGAGTCCCTCTTGGCCGACAGAGGTCACTAAAAGCCCTGTGTGTGCCACAGGCAGCCTGTGATGTGTTCTGTGTGGGAGATGATGTCAACATAGAGAAGGCGAACAACTCCCTCATCAGCAACGACCGCAGCTGGAAGAGGAACAAGTTCCGCCTCACCTATGTGGCCGAAGCTCCGGAGCTCACACAAGGTGCCTCTCCCCACTCTCCTGGCGGCGTCGCGACAGCGGGGAAACAGGGAATTCAGGAGCGCTCCCCACTACCAGGCACTCAGAGAAGGCAGGCTCCCTTGCTTTGACCCACCTTTAGTGTAGTTCTCCAAAACCGAATACCCCGCTAGTGCCCCACGCTCCGTGAAACATGCGCGAGGACGTTCCTCTCCCCGGGAGCAGAGGGCGCTACCCTGAACCGCCTCCTCTCAGCTAAGTCCCACCGTTTGCTTTGTGCCCTGCATTACCCACAACCGCCCCCACCTGACCTCTGCCCTTTCATCTCTTCACGTGGCTCTCAGGACGTGTGGGAATGTGGGGAGGGGGAGGCGGTCCTTGGAAGCTGAAGGCGTTTCACCGACAGCCGTGGAGCCCACGTCAGAAGACTGTGGCTTTTCTCCCTGCAGGTCTATCCAACGTCCACAAAAAGAGGGTCTCGGCCGCTCGCCTCCTCAGCCGTCAAAACCTGCAGAGCCCTAAATCCAGGTAGGAACACCTCGTGCCCGTGGGCCACCCACCTCTGCTCCAGAAGCCCCCGCAGGAAGGCGGAGGTCCTTGCCGGCCCCAGGGACTGGTTTCCTGTGACCATCCCAAGTGCCCCTGAGACTCCTTTGCTGCTTTGTGGCATCTCGGTTGCTTGCTTTCCCTCTGCCAAGGCCCAGGTGGAGGGACAGAAGAAGGAGAGAGCCGTGCTCCTTGTGGAGAGAGAGAGGAGACCGGTTTCTTAGAGTTTAATAGAGACCACTCCCTTGTAGAGCTGCTCATTGTACCAGGGCATCTAAGTCCAAACCACTTAGCCCAGGCATTTCCTCCTTGTGGATGGTTCTTCTTGGGAGACCTACTTAATTCCTTAGGGACGACAGGAGGCTCATTCCTACACCAGACAGCCACTGTGTGTTTTGAAGTCCTGATTGTCAGAAATCATCTTACCGCAGCATAGATCCACAGCATACCTTCCTAGCACTTTGTTTTGATGCCAGTTACTGTCTCCAGTGACACTCAAAACAAATGCGGTTCTTCCAGAGGAGCCAAATTTGGCTGCAACGGGCCAAGACTTTGACCGATCCGTCCTGGGCCCTGATTCCTTCCAATCGCTCCTTCTAAGCCCTGGTGTTCCACGCCTTTTGCTTTAGTAAAAGGACACGCTCTGTCCCTCTGGAAGTGTCATTTTCAGAACTGGTCACAGTGCAGTGGAGGTCCTGTGATCACTGCCAAGGGCGCTGAGGCTATTATTACCCTCCCTGATCGGAACACGACACGCCGACGCTGCCCGAGATTGCGGCGCCGCTCTGATAGCCTGCTGGTCTCCACTTCGGCTTGTGGGTTTGCTGCCCAGCCTTTTCCAAAGGACCCCGCCAGCTCTGTCCATCCCTCCACTTGTACTAGTACATTTTTTTAGCACACACGAGGATCTTCTGAAACCTTCACTCTTTGTGTGCATGGCCTGGGACAAAAAGTGTCCTCCTGAGCTGGACAGCCCTGGGTTCGGACCCCCCAGCTCTGCCCTGCAACGGCTGCGTGACCTTGAGCAAGTCCCTCGGGTCCTCTGAGGCCCCGTCTCCTCACCTAAAATGAGAACGGTGGCTACAGAGGTAGCTGATGTGTATCTAGTCCTTTCTGTGTCCCAAGCGCCCTCCGGAGCCCACCCCGTGCAGGGCCCCTCCTCCTGGGCAGCTCAGGGTCTCGGTTCCCATTATCATCCACATTTCCCATATGAGAAATGACGATTAGAAAACACAAGGGACTGTTTCAAGGTCACACACCCCGGGTTTCTCCGGCTCCAGAGTCAATACGCTGAATGCCTGTGCACGGAGCCTCCACCGCATTGCGGGCCTGCTGTACTAAAGGCACGTTCACTAAGCAATGCTGTATCATATGTTCCCATTACTATTCTTTATCCATCCCAGCTTCCTACACTTGCAAATTTTGTGTGCCTGCTGTCAAGGACGTCAAGACTTTGATTAAGTGATCAACTGGGTAGAATCCCAGGGCTCTCATGTTCTCTCCCAGGTCCTCAAACCTTAAAGGAGTGGATTGGGAACTGGATCCCTCTGAATAGCTAGTTGAATGCAATATTCACAACATAACAATCTCTGATAGAGAGAAGGACTCTGCATTTGAAATACTACACATCTTACTTTCCATTTCTGTCCTGTGCAAAGGTAGGACCTAAGTAGCATTATAAGAGAAGGGACTAGGAATCACCTGGAGATTTCTTTCAGCAGAAAAATCTATAAAAGACCAGATCACAAAAATCACCCCCAAAAGCATAGTCCATAAAAAGCAAGTTATTTTGCAAATGTTTTGCTGGTGAGTTGGACCAAAGTCCCAGAATAACCGCCTCCCACCTCTGGAAAGGTCAGCTGGCTCCATGCTGCTTGGCTGACCCAAACGAGTTTCATCAGGTTAGAACCGGAAGACCGTATGGGTTAGCACAAAAAGGGCCACACCATGTCTGGTGTTCATCTCTGTGGAAGCGTGCTCTGTGGCACGGCCTGTTTTCAGGCTTACTTCCATTTCCAGCTTTACAAGGTTTTTGTTTTTGTTTTAAGGGTTAATTGAGGGAAAAAGCATGACCCTCTCTCCCGTTCTGCCCCAGCCAAGGCCCCAGGCAGGCTGTCGGGCCCAAGAGGCCATAGGCAAGCCATCGCCCGTCACCTCCGCTGGAGAGCCTTGATAGCGAGCAGAGTGCTTCAGGGGAAGTAAACGGCCTTTCGAGGGGTGTCCTTGAAAATCTAAAGAGAAAAGTGACCGCAGTTACTGCTCAGCCAGAAAATAAATTTTCTAATTATGCATGCCAATTAGCAAACAGTAGAGAAGAGAGTATAGTGGGGCTCATGGGTGGGGTGGGGGCGCAAGTCTTGGGAGGCAGAAGGAGGAAGGAGGATGCAGGATGCGCTTGGGATGGGCTTGGGAAGATGGCGGAGGGACGCGGAAGAGAGAACGGCAGGGAACAAAGGTGCAGAGGGGGCCTGAGCCCTTGGCTCATCTTAGAGATTGGCGGGGCCTTGCAATGGGGAGCTCTTGATGGCTCAAACTCTTGAATCCCATCTCCCCTCGGATACTTTGCTCCCTCCAGCCTTTGCCATCGCAACAGAGAACATTAACATTTGGCGTAAGCCAAACGCTAAACCTCCCCCTCCCCTCCTCTCCCACTGCACACCCAACTCTCACCCGCCACCTCGGGCAAAGCCGTGACGACCTCGGGTCTGAGTGGCCGCAGTAGTCACCTACTCTGCCTCCTGGTTCCTTGGCTTTTCCCTCAAAGATCCAACTTACAAACAGTAGCCAGAGTGATCTTTTTAAAGCGTAAATTGAAGCCTGTCATCCTTAGCCGCATACCCTCCCTGGCTTCCCACTGAACCCAGGAAACCCCCCAAGTCCTTGCATGGCAGGCCATGACCTCTGCCCAGCTCTCTGACCTCCTTCCTCCCCCGCTCAGCCCTGAGCTGATTACTCTCCAAACACTCCGGCCTCCGTCCCCTTCCTCGCCCGCCCCGCACCATGGCCTCCCCGGGGCCTTGGCCTGCGCTGCACCTCCTTTTGGGAACACTGTCCCCCCAGACCTGGGCACGTCCACTCCTCCCCATTGTTCAGGTCTCTGTTCAAATGTCAGGTCTCCAGAGAGGCCCCCCGCGACCGTCCTGTCTGAGGCCCTCGAAGCCCCCTGTCCCCGGCCCATCACCACCCATTCCCACATCACCCACCAACCTGAGGTCTTTTCCAGTTGCTTCCCAGTGAAAGCGGGACACTTCATCCAGTGCTTTCTCCTCGGTGCCCAGAGCAGTGCCTGACACGCAACAGCAATGCGTCGAATGAACCTAATAACTCAAACTGCTCTTGATGATGTTTACCCCTTTTGTGCAAGATTAAACATGAGCCTTTTTTTTCTTTTTTCATTTAATGCCGGACATTAGCAGGTTATTCTTTTATCTGGAAACTTGACATTGGACCACTGCCAAGCACATCACAGGCAGGGCCCTCCGGGGGAGGCGGCGGAGAAGCCCCATGGCTATTGCCTCCCCTGTACTTCCCTTTCTTTGCCCCCCAAATACTGTTCAAGGGTCCATGTGTGTCCCAAGGTTACTCATTATTTTTGTTAAAGGCTTAGCAAATCCTGCCCTTAAAACCCCCCAACAGAACTGAGATGTAAGACAACGCGTCTTGAGGCGAGTGCTGCCCACCAGGGGTCAGCTTCCTGCTGGGCCTCAAGGAGCAGCCCAGCAAGGGTCCCCGGGGCCTCGCAGCCACCCTGCGCTGAGGCCGTCAGCGGGCCGTATCTGGTCAGTGGCTTGCAGAGTCCCCTCGCTCGGTCAGATCCCTGGCGCAGGCAGAGCCGGGCCCTCCTTCTAGCTAACCTGCCAGCTACGTCCCCAGCCCTGCCCTTACCTGCCTGACCACCTTCCGCCACATTCAAAAGGACTTGGGGCAAGTGGCTGTGAACGTGAGCCAGCTCAGCAAGTTCGTGTCCTCCGCATTTCTATTTTGCACTGGGCAAAAGAACAGAGGGAAGTATACTTCTGAAAGAAATTGCAATGATCTGGGAGAAAGTGGGAATGGATTTGCGGGCCTTTCCAAGGCTTCCTGTGGTTGTCTGTGGAGGCTCCCAAGTTAGCGGCCCCACGGCGCCCCCTGCTGGCCGTCGGCCTCTGCTCATTCCCTTCCTGGAGCTAGCCGTGGGTCAGGTCTTCGCTCTCGGGAATCGGGATGGGTGCGAGCTCGGAGCAGAATCAGTTGTGCAAGTCCATATAATGGACAAAAATCAGTGCCCCACAGAGGGCGAAATCTGCCCAGGAAAGGAGTGTGGGACCCCAGGCTCTAGTACCGCCCTTCACGATTTCAGACCCCAAGTTCCCCACCATACAAAGGACAGGGTGCCTTGCTTCAAAAAAAAAAAAAGTATTTGACACCCCAAAAAGCAGGTGTGCTGGCACAGCTATTTTTATTAATGGTGGCTGCCCACAGCACCAAAGAGCTCTTGGTTACACCAAAAATTCCTTTAAATAGTGAGTTCCATTGGTTCTTTCAAGTGTTGATTATTCAAGGTTCAATGCAAAAGCTTCATGTAGAATATCAAGTTCTCTATCAAATGAAAACCAGTTGGCAATGAAGGGAGAGCAGATCTGAAATGCGATCATGACCCAAGGTGTGCAAAGGACTTGATTTACCAAAGTGTGATCCATCGCGATGTTTTCAGAAATTGTGTAAAACGTAGCATCTGTACTAAGACTCTAAAAGGACCAGAATATTCATAGTCTGAGAATTCACTCTTGAAGCCATTCAGTTAGCACGGGCCTCCTGCCCTTGAAATACAAAAATCAACGTGAAAGGGCATGACCTGGCAGGTGTAAGTGAGGTCCTCTCTGGGTTTTCTGCTTAGGTCTCTCAATTTTACAATATAATATCAGTGGATTCCTGTTTAACAACAACCCAAGGTTAAGGCCGGGTCCTTTTCCCTTTTTCCCTGACAACACGAGGACCTCCAGCTGCAAAAGCGTGGAGCTTAGGATTCTCAGGGGGATGGAGTGTCACAGATTGGGGACACCAGTGCCTTGGCGCCAATGGGGTAGTAGCTGCTGAGAGGACCCCCGTTGGTACTGAGAACAAAGCCTGTTCTGGCAGCTGGGAATCCGATGTTCCTTCAACCAGCAAATGCCTCTTGAGCACCCACTGTGTGCCATGCACGGTCCTAGGTGCCAGGAATGGGGCCATGAACAAAACGAACGGACAAACCCCCGTCCGCTAGAATTGACATTGTTGAGGGGACCAGGGGGCGGGGGGCACAACCACCAACCCGAGAAGGAAGTAAACTCTCCTGTGGGTCGGGGGACGGTAACTGCTATGGAGAAGAGGGAAGCCGGGGCAGGAAGACAGGGGAGCAAAGGTGTGCGAGGGCCGAACCCTGGGGGCTCCGATGCCTGGGGTTTGGGGAGAGGAGAAGGAGCCAGCGCAGGAGACTGAGCCAGGGCAGCCAGAGCGAAGACGGGGAGAGCCTGCGGTGCTAGCACCCAGAGGGGGAGGGAACAAGCAGCTGTGTCCTGAGCTGCACCCATGACCAACATGAGGAGCCCTGGGAACCGGCTGCTGGATTTGCAAAGAGGGGCTCACGGGTGACCTTGCTGAGGCCGTGGTGTGGAAACGATGGGGACAGAAGTCCGGTTGGCATGAGCCCCAAGGAGCCTGGAAGGAGAGAAACTGCAGTCACAGGACAGGACGGACAAAGGAGCCAAGAAAGGGGCCGTAGCCGGCGGCCCCTATCTGATCGTCCCCCGCTCCTTCCCTCCAGCCGGTCAACCATCTTCGTGCGTCTCCACACCAACGGGAACCAGGAGCTGCAGTACCAGCCTGGCGACCACCTGGGCGTCTTCCCTGGCAACCACGACGACCTCGTGAATGCCCTGATCGAGCGGCTGGAGGACGCACCCCCTGTCAACCAGCTGGTGAAGGTGGAGCTGCTGGAGGAGCGGAACACGGCTCTGGGTAACTGCGGCCGCGCCGGGCACCCCGCCTGGCCACCCGAGGGCCCTTCCCTTCCCCAGGGAGTTCCGGTGGCAGTGGGCGTCCGGGGACGAGGGGGCCCCTTCCTGGTCCCAATCGCCAGCCCAGGCAGGAGAGTGGGTCTCTGTTGCCTCTGGCCTATGAGACGGAAGCCTTCCCACTTTTCTTGGCTGAACCACCCGGCCCCGCTGACTGAGCAATTGTCTGTGACGCAAGGACATTGATGGCCCATCGCTGGGGGACACTGATTTGAGCAGAACCCACTCCTCTTCCCTTATGTGTTCCCTCCACCCCGCTACCCACAGAGTAAATAGCCACTGAAATCTGACCCTGCCTCCTCTTAGGTCCAGAGGCGCTACAGGAAGCTCGATGGTCCGCGAGGCACAGAGCACATTTCTGACCTCTTTAGATCAAGTTCTAACCTATTTCAGGGACTGTTCTTGACCTTCCCATTGAAGGACTTGCAAAGGCCAATGGGTCTCAGTGCTTCTTTTCAGTAGGTGCCGGTGAGCTCAGGGCTCAGGTCCGAGGACCGGCAGTGACCTTGCTTGGCAGCCTGTGATGCAGCGACGCATTGCTTTCACGGAGGAGCTAGGGGCAAAGTCAGGGTGGGATGTGAAAGTAGTAAATAGTTAAAGTCCTGCTGAAAATCTTCTGGGAAGGCACCCCTTTGGAGAGACACGCCCTCTCCAAATCAGTCCAACTCAGCCAGTTCTTACTCTGTGTTACAACTGGGCCTTTTTTTATCTTGGGTTGAGTCCCTGCTAAAGGGAAGGCTTGTGTTTAGGAGTTCTATTGAATGAAAAGTACACAGAGGCAGTACGGTGTAGTAGTGAGAAGACAGGTTGCCTGACTTCACAGTTATGAGCTGTGTGACCTTGGGCAAAGTCCTTAACCTCTCTGTGCTTCCATTTATCTCAGCTGGAAAAAGAGAATAATGATAGCACTACCACCTAAGATGGCTGTGAGTTTGGGGAGATGAGAAGGATTAGATGAGCTAATAGTATAAAGTGCTGAGAATAGTGCCTGCCATATAGAAAGTACGAGGTAAGTGTTAAGCACGTTTGTAATTTTAAACTCTGGAATCCCATCCAGAGGAGTGAGAGGCCAATAGCACGAGAGGACAGACAGAGCCAAAATAGACCCATAGCTCACGCTCAGCTGGCGGCTCACTGCGGAGAATGCCAGGGGACCGCCTCTTGCTATTTTAATCTGAGTTTATTTTTTAATTTGTGGACTAGTGTGCTTGGGATTTTGGGTGTGTTCCTTGCACACACGATGTGTAGATGCGGGATATGAAAGGTGGAGGGGTGAGGGGTGGGTGGGCTCACCCAGCCCCTCCCAACTGGGACCCAAGCCCTCAGAGCTCAGACTCTCCTCCCCACCCCCGCTCCCCTAACCCCCACCGTGCCTCCCCAGGAGTTATCAGCAACTGGACGGATGAGCACCGCCTCCCGCCCTGCACCATCTTCCAGGCCTTCAAGTACTACCTGGACATCACCACGCCACCCACGCCACTGCAGCTGCAGCAGTTTGCCTCCCTGGCCACCAGCGAGAAAGAGAAGCAGCGCCTGCTGGTCCTCAGCAAGGTGGGTGCCTGCTGCCTACAGCCCCAGGCCGTGCCTGTCACCTCCTCGTCCTTGGAGAGTTGTAGAGTATTACAACAGCTTTCCAGCAGATGGCAGTCTTGAGCAAGCACTGCCATTTTCTAGTTTGCGGAAAGTTGCCCTCGTGGCTCCTCCGTTTGGGTTAGTCCCAACCATCTCGCCTGGTTCTAAGCCCTGTTAGAACGACAGTGACCTCATCGAATTTCAGAGGTCCTTGGCCACAGTAGAAATTGCCGTTCCTCCTTCCTTTGGAACGCTGGAGCTTCCATTACTTCCATCTTAGCCAAAGCTTGGGAGAAAAAGAAGCAGAACCTCAAAATGACCTGTTTTCAAGATGAGCCTTTTCCAGTGCAGAGGAGCTATAGGTAGGACTTCTCCGATGGAAAGGCGAAGCCAGCACGCACAGCTGCTACCACCCTTGCTTGGAAACAGGGCTCATCGGCTCCAAGCGGCTGCAAAGCCTTGCTCAAGCAGTAAGAATCCCACCCAGGAAGGCCTCCCAGGTTTCTCCCAGTGGGGGCTCCTCCCCCCGTGTGCAATCCCCCAGCAAAGGATGGGGCGGCTTTTCCTGCCTTCCAGGAGAGGACATTGAGTTGTGGTCGCAAGGCAGAGGCTAATTCAAGGAGTGCACATTATTTAGAAATACAGACGTAAACAGCAGAAGAAACATTTAAAGAGCTGTCAGTGGTCTTCTGGGGAGTTGGAAACACTGGGGAGGTGGAACCAAAGAGCATTATTTTCTTCAAAAGTTTTGCAGAATTATTTAACTTTTTAAACTGTACATGTATATCTAATAGGAAGAGGAACCAGAGCTTGCACTGTTTGCACTGGGTTATTTGAAGTAGAATTTGATGTAACTGTTTGGGTTAGTCCATTTCTTCCAAAAGAGCATAAACTCCCAAGTTAAATGAGCGAGGATTTTTGTTCGAGGAAACACCTGTGTAAGAGAACATGGGAGGGAGTCAGAGAAGTCTGACCCCAAGCGAAGGAGGGGGAAGAAGGTTGAATGAAGTGTCCAGGGTTGCACAGCCCTCTCAGGACAGACCAGCGCAGGCAGTCACATCAGTTTCAGGGGGGTGTCCGTTTCAGAGAGCAGCTGCTGGGGCTCTCGGCAAATTGTGCCCCTGCAGGTGAAGGTCAGTGAGGCTGGAGGTGTGGGAGGCACGTTCTCCCCAATGCCAGACCCATCAATAAAGTGAGGATGGTCTTTAGAGACATGGGAAAAGGCCTTGTTATACAGCGCACTTAGATTGGGCTCTACCCCTCCTCAAAATCTGAACCCCCGGAAGCAACAAGGGACTACCCAGGGCAGCTTCTGAGATGTAGGGAAAATAACCCCAGAGTCCCAAGGAGTCCCTCTGCTCCCTAGTAACAGCGGGGCTTTGCTGTCAACACGCCCACGAACACAGTCCCCCACTCCCTAACCTCTGCCTTCGGGGCTGTCCTTTACCGTCCGAGCATGCTCTCTGCAGACTCGCCTCCACCCTGGCAGACCCACAAACTGCAGGTCTGTACTGTGTCCCTGCGAGCCGTGACTCCCTGCACGGTGAGACCCTCTTGACCTTCACGTGCTGCAGGGGCATGTGATGGTCAGGAGTCCAGATTCCGGGCCTGGCTGCCTAAGGCAAGGCTCAGCGCTCTTTTTCTGCAAAGGGCCAGGTGATACATATTTTAGGCTCGTGGTCCTTTCGGTGTCTGTCGCCGTTCCCCAGCCCTGCCCCTGTAGTGCAACATGGAGACAATGCCTAATGAGTGCGCGTGGCTGCATTCCAACCCAGCCTTATTTTGGGGCACTGGAATTCCAATTTTACATCGTATTTTTGTGTCATAAAACAGCGCTCTTCTTTTGATGTTTCCCCAAACTATTTAAACATACAAAGCAAGGGATGAGCCAGATTTGGTTTGCAGGCTGATGTCGGCCACCCCCGAGCTAGATTCAAAACCCAGAATGACGACCGCGTAGCCCCAGGATCTCCATCGCCCTCAGTTTCCTCATCTATGAAATAGGTTTAACAATCATACTCATTGTGTAAGGTCCTAGTGAGAGCGAGAACCCAGCACCGAGCATTCACTGTGTACGCGTTAACTATGACTATTTGTGCCTTCGTCCCCGAACCTACTCAAGCTGTTGCCAGACCTGTGTACCAGGCGCTGAGTGCGGGTTTTCCTCTGCCCCCGCCCCTTGACACAGGGCTTACAAGAGTACGAGGAATGGAAGTGGGGCAAGAACCCCACCATCGTGGAGGTGCTGGAGGAGTTCCGGTCCGTCCAGATGCCAGCCACCCTGCTCCTGACCCAGCTGTCCCTTCTGCAGCCTCGTTACTACTCCATCAGCTCCTCCCCAGACATGTACCCTGACGAGGTGCACCTCACCGTGGCCATCGTCTCCTACCGCACCCGAGGTGGGCAGAGCTGCGGGGAGAGGCTCCGGGTGTGCACCCCCCCACTGGGGCCCCTGTGGGCCCACCAAATCCCAAGTCCCTGGCTGGAGACCCATGCCTGTGGCCAGGGGATGCTGGGTAGAAGCAGAGCAGGCAAACTGTCCCCTTAAGCAGAGCCAACTCCGTGTAGAATTAAGAAGGAGGTGAGAGGTGCATTACTCCCTCACGCCCCCAAGGCAGCAGCTAGAACAAGCCACCACAACCCATTACCTTGGAGCGGGGAGCTCCCTGCTGAGGGTGTCCGGCTGGTTGTAGGTCGGTCGGATAGCCCAGCATCCCAGCAGCCCGCTGAGGGCACGCTGACCAAGGCCCTTTCAGTGGGCAGGATTTGAATCCAACTCCCCTTTACCCAACAGGACCCTGGGCACTCTCACAGCTCACGAGCTCGGCCCCAGTGCTACCATTTCCTCTTCCCTTTCAGAGGAAGGGATCAACACGAGGAACTCCAAGGCAGAAATTTGGCATGGGGGCTGTGAGCCTTCTGGACTGGAGGGAGGGAGGAGGCCAGCGAGAGGGGAGCTCAGGGACCGTAGGTGAGCGAGACCTCCTTGGTTATTCTGCTAGATGGAGAAGGACCAATTCACCATGGCGTGTGCTCCTCCTGGCTCAACCGGATACAGTCTGATGAAGTGGTCCCCTGTTTCGTGAGAGGGTGAGTGGAAAAAGAAGTGAGCGGCCATCCCAAACCTGCGCACTGATGTCCTGGCTGGGGTGGGTGACCCAGCCCAAAGGGCTCTAGAGAGGTGGCAGAATCAGACAGGCTCAACATCCTGCATCCCTCCAAGCTGTTAAGGAAATGGGATCATGAGACAGCACCTAGAAGAAGCTAAGAAGTTCTCTAGCCAAGGTCAAGTCAATGCAGCAGGTATGTAACAAGTGCACATACTATGCTAGATGCTGAGGCTGCAGTGCAGAACCAAGCAAACGCAGTCCCAGCCTTCATGGAATTTGCAGACCAGGGGAGCTTCTACCCAAATTCTGTAGGATGCCCCATCTGTCCCCTGTTAGAAACAGGGAAGATCCAAACACCTTGCCCCAAACCCATCAATCAGAGCCTTTCCTCCCAAACTCAGCTTTAAGAGATACTCTTGCCTATCATTAACAATGCTGCATTGTGTACTGAAAACTTTGTTAGGAGGGTAAATTTCATGTTACGTGTTCTTATCATAATCCATCAACCAAAAAGAAAAAAAAAACCCTATTCCTTTCAAAAAATAAAAATAAAAAGTTAGGGATATGCCTGAGCTTAGGCCCATTGTCAGTTCCTGCTTTGTCAGCCAGTAACATCTCCCCCTGAACTGCGACCTTGGCCAGCCACTGTTCTCAACTGTTGAAGGTAGAACATTCACGGGATGGTCCACATGCCCTCGGGGTTGCTTCAGAAATACTGTCTCCTAGCCCAGACTTGCTGCATTGCGCAGGAAATCTGCACCGCTTTTAAAATCCCCAAGGGATTCTTCTGTACATTGGAGTCAGCGGAGTCTCCTGATTACGGGAGATCTCATGGGTGGTTAAGTCAGTGGTTCTCAATGGGGGTAACATTGCTCCCCTACCCCAGACATTTGGCAATGTCCGGAGATGTTTTTGGTTGTCAGTGCTGGAGGGTGTTCCTGGAACCTAGTGGGTAGAGGCCAGCGGTTCTGCTCAGTAGCCTACAATGCACAGCACAGGCCCCGCAACAGAGAGGTATGCAGCCCCGAATGTGAGCAGTGCTGAGGCAGGGAAACCCTGGGTCAGGTCAACCCCACCGCCCACTGTGGCTCCGCTCAGCAATGGGGATCATTGAGAAATGGAAGGATAGCCAGACTCTGGGGACATCCTGTTCTGGGAAGTCCCCACATCTGTGGGGCTTCTCACCCTGATTAGGGGCAGCTGACCCAGCTGAAGAATTGCAGGTCCTGCTACATTGCTACCCAAGACAGCCACCTGGTCTACCTAAGACCCGGCTGTTCTTCATCACAGTTGACTCAGTAAGGCTTGTGACTTTCTTTTCCTTGTCAGAGCACCCAGCTTCCACCTGCCCCGAAATCCCCAGGTGCCCTGCATCCTGGTTGGGCCCGGCACCGGCATTGCCCCTTTCCGAAGCTTCTGGCAGCAACGACAGTTTGATATCCAGCACAAAGGTAGGTCCTGAGCCAGTAGCTACATGGTTTCCACCCCCCGGACCTGGCAAGGCCCACCTGTGTCTCAGCAGCCCGGTGATCATGTAATGGCTTTATCTCTCCTTTGCATCGCTGCCCGGGGAGGGGAGGGGGGAGCGTAGTTCTGACCTGACCTATGGTGTGAGTCAAGAGACCTGTCCCAACAGATCTTTCTCCCAGCCATACTAGGGCCTGAAATTCCACATTTTTTTTGACTGTTAAGCTAGGACCCCTCCCTAAAACTCAAGCAGCTCGGGAAGAGGTAAATATGAAGCCTTCTCAAACGGACTTGTGTTTATGGGATTCTCTCAGAGGTTCTTATTTAAGAGCAGCTCTTGTTATGTGAGATCTGAGCACACACAGATCAGCTTTGGGAGGAAAGAGGAAAAGAAGGCCACAGTGTTGGCATTCAAGGGGGATTTATTGAGCACCTAATAAGTGCCCAACACTTTTGTAGGCACTGGAGGCAGACCAATGAACAAGACAGAAACAACATTAACAAAAGGAAGAAAAAAACCCTGCTCCTATGCAACTGTCATTCAAGTGGACTAGCTAACATTTATACAGTATTCGCTGTATACCAGGCACAGTTCTGACATTTGACATTCATTTTTAACAATAACCCTGTAAGGTGGTTGCTATTATCATTCCCATTTTGTACATGGGGGAAATAGAGACATGGAAAGCTAAGTCAGTCACTCACTGTCCAACAGAGCTTGGATCTGAACCCAGGCAGCATTGCTCCGAAGTCTGGGGTCTTGGCACCTTTCACAGTGGTCAGGAGGAAAGGCTGAGGCCCTGAGAAGGGAGGTTTGCCAAAGTCTGGACACGCTTTACCTGCTCCCGTGTGTGGGAGCATGTATGTGTGGGAGTCCGTATACTGGCCTGCCGCAGTGTCCCGGGACTCTTACCCTCGTGGCAGCTGCTGAGGTTCCCAGGAACCCTGCCCCCCGGCACCACCAGCCACCCCCAAATCAGCAGAGCTCTTGATGACATGACCCCTTCTGGTCCCCAGGAATGAGTCCCTGCCCCATGATCCTGGTCTTCGGGTGCCGGCAATCCAAGATAGACCACATCTACAAGGAGGAGACCCTACAAGCCAGAAACATGGGGGTCTTCAGAGAACTATACACGGCCTACTCCCGGGAGCCAGACAAACCAAAGGTAACCCCGGCTCATCCGCAGCCCCCCACCCCAGCTTTAAAATACACACAGGCACGCTGGCGCATGCTCCCAGAAACCCCCCACCCCCGCCCCCCAAATCCTCTGTGGAATTGCTCTGTGCTTCAGGAAGCATGGGACCTAAAAATAACAATGTAAAATATTTAAGAGCTCATAGGACACGACGCCACTCCTATGACATATCCAGAACAGCCATGTCTACAGAGAGAGAGAGCAGATTGGTGGTGGCCAGGGGCTGTGGGGAGGGGCGTGAGGAGTGCCCGTCATCAGTACGAGGCCTCAGCTGGGGCGAGGAAAAGGATTGGAACTAGACAGTGGAGATGGTTGTACATTGCGAATGCCCGTAATGCCGCTGAATCGTGCACTTTACCACAATGGTCAGATGCTAAATGTTATGTGTGTTTTAAAATACACAATACAAAGTGTTAACATGAATTAAAAATATATTGAACAGCCTGTAAGAAGCCCTACCCGTCGAACGGGCACGGCCACAGGACCGCAGCGCGTTCCTGGCCGATCTTGGGGCGGTCAGGGGTGGGGGTCCCAGGAAGTGGGCCAGGACAGCAGGGGTGAGGGGGCAACTCAGAGGCCCAGGCCGTGGCCGTTTGACAGCTGGTGTAGAAGGACAGCAACACTTAGAACAAGCAGGACAGCCAAGCCGGGAAGTGCCCAGTGAATGGCAACCTCGCCCGGAGGGGAGCTCCCTGGCGGGGGCGAACAGCCCTGGGCCGCCTCGCGCTCTGGAGCCCATCCCTCCCCCAGCGGCTGCAGCTGGCCTCGCAGAGGAGCAGGCCAGTGGCCCCATCCACCTCTGGCCGTCAGCTGGGGCCTGCTGTGGCCCCCTGCCTAGCACGCCTGCAGGGGGAGCCCCGCTCCTGCACGTGTGTGGCGTCCACACTGGCCGGGCTGCCACTGGCGGTGGGAGGGAGGAGCAGGTAGACCATGTCCCCTCTCTGATGCCCCTGCAAGTAATGGTTCTGGGGTCCTCGGCAGAGCTGAGGTCCAGGGTGGGGAGCAGCGCCTTCACGCAGCCTCAGGTGCGCTTTCCCTCCTCCCCGGTGTCACCCTTCCTAGCCCCCAGGGATCACCTCGCCCACTGGAGTACCTGCCCGCAGGCTCTGGTCATTCGCTGCTCCCGGGTAGGGGGGGAGGTCAAACAGCTGGCCTGTTGTCACCGGTCCCCTGTCCCCCCGCAGAAGTACGTGCAGGACATCCTGCAGGAGAAGCTGGCGGAGCCCGTGTACCGAGCCCTAAAGGAGCAAGGGGGCCACATCTATGTCTGTGGGGACGTCACCATGGCCGCCGACGTCCTCAAAGCCATACAGCGCATCATGACCCAGCAGGGGAAGCTCTCGGTGGAGGACGCCGGCGTGTTCATCAGCCGGCTGAGGGTGAGCAGCAGACTGGCTCCTGGGGTCCCCTTCTCGGCATCCAGTGTCCCATCCCCTCTTCCTCTCCCGCCTGTCTCGATGATCAGGGGAGCCCTGATAACATCCCCGCTCCTAGTGTTCCACGTGTGGCCAGGGTAGAGTGTTGCGGTGGTCCCAGCCCATAGTGCAGAGAAAAGGTAGGGTGGCCAGTCATGCAGGCGAGTGTATTAAATACTGTTGGGGACCGTGGTATGAGAAAGTCACAGGTGGACCAATCCCTGGGGAGGTAGGCAGAAGCCACCCGAACCCACCTTTTCCCGCCCCCAGAACCAAGTGGCAGCTCTGTGCTGGGCAGTGGCACAGGCTGGGCCCTGCGTGGAAAGGCCTAACTCAGGGGGACAAGTGGGAGCTGAAAGCACCCCAGGCTGGGCCCCCACGCTGTGAGCCTTGGCCTGGAGCTGTGCCCCTCCCAGAAGGAGGGCTGCCGTCTCCTGCTATGCACAGAACAATGGCTAAGAGAGCCCCTCAGGCAAAGTCCCATGTGACCCGCTGCCCCAAAAGTCCAGGTCTCCACAAAGCTCCAGGGGTGATCCCCAGCTGCCCCTGCTTCCCTAAGTGAGCAAGGAGCCAGCATTTTTGCAGAAGCCCTTGCTGTCAATCTGATGCTAACCCCCCAGCAGGTCAACCAAATAAATAAATAAAAGGACTTTCTGGTAGAGATGTCAGCAGGCCAAGGAGAGTCACAGAGGCCCCCGCCACTCTGTCTCTGCTAGTGGCCTCGGGAGACACTTTCATAGGTTCCCGAGAACCATGCAGAATGAGGCTGAGACACCGCCCCCACTTGAACACGAGCCTGTTCTACAGATGAACAACTTTCTTCAAAAACCTTCGAACTTAAGTCTGTGTGGCATTGTGCCCAAGAAGTCCCCACCTTGGCAGCTGGGAGGTGTCTCCTGAAAGCCACACAGCACTTTCCCCCCGTCTCTGCTGGTCTTGACAGACTGTGATGTTTCACACTAAACCCTGCAGTGCCCAGGCCTGAACTTGCAGGAGCGAGGAGGAGGCAGGAAAGGGCGAGGGTGGCGCGGCTTCCGGCTGACGTCCTCACCTCCTCCGTCCTCCGAATGGACAAAGCAGCCGCCCCGTTCCTGGATGGGGCCAGACGTGGGCACCGGCTCACACTGCGCTTCTTCGGGGACCGTTTTCTTTAGGCATAGTTCATCCTGTGTGTCAGCATGTCCACCTGTCTCTGGGCCCTTGGCTGGCGTTTGAGGGCTGTTCCCTGTTTCTCTCCCCTAGGATGACAACCGTTACCATGAAGATATTTTCGGGGTCACCCTGCGAACGTATGAAGTGACCAACCGCCTTAGATCTGAATCCATTGCCTTCATTGAGGAGAGCAAAAAGGACACCGATGAGTAAGCCAGCCTGTCCCCGGGGGCCAGGGGTGGGCAGAGACCTCTCTTCTGGGTCCTGATGGGCAGGGGGATCTGACGTCCACGGGGCTTTCCTGCAGGGGGACCCCGGAGACAGCAGCATGAGCAGCTCCCAGCCACGTGGGAGAAATGCAAACCTGAGGCCACCCCTGACCTGCAGAATCTAAGACTCTGGGGTCAGGGTGCAGCAGTTTGTGTTTTAAAGAGTGTCCTGGGAGATTCTGGGGTGCGTTCCAGGGTGGGCCCCAGCTTTGGATGCCGGCTTCTGCCTGAGGCGCCCCCTGGTGGAACTATGGCTCAGTGCTCTCTACCAAATGGTATTCTTTAGGTTCACTCCACCTCTCTGGCCTCTCAAAACTGCTGGGAACGCCCTCATTGATGCAAATTCAAATTGGCATTGTTTTGACAACTTCACTCCTCCTCTGGAAATTGCTGGAAACAGCCTGGCGCACCACAAGATTGGGACTGAGTCTCCCTCTTGAAACCTGACCACAGCGCCGCCACACATCAGCCTCGAGTGCCACCTCGCTCCCCCATTCCCTGCCCCGGGTGCCTCGCAACCACTGCCGCCTGCCCTTGAAATTGGGCAGGAAATGGAGCAGAGGGCACACGCTCCATTTCTCAAGGAGCCTCATGGTTTTCCCCGTACAAAATGGCAGTCTCGAAAACGTACATTTGTGCCCCAGAGGCTCTGTTATTAACATCACCGCTCCTTTGGTTGTCACAGAGCCCCTGTAAATGTCCCTCTCCCTGGCCACCTGTGTAGGCAAGCAAGCATTCACGCATTCATTTGTTCATTCATTACAAGCCCCCACGGGGTGCCAGGTGCCAGGTGCCATCCAAGTCACGAGTTGGGGGGGGGGGGCTACGGAGGAAATGAAAGTGAGGACAGAGGTTAGGGAGTGCCCAGAGATGAAGGGGGGGTCTCTCTGGTGTCTTTAAGGGGGCAGCAGCCTTGTTCCTGCGGCACTAACTCCCTCCCCACTTCTTCTTCCACAGGGTTTTTAGCTCCTAACTGGATCCTCTCGCCCAGACCGATGGCAGGGGGGCCGCCCCGTGCGCTCCGGCGGGGGTGGCGGCAGGTTTTGTAAGCGCGAACACTGCTGAACCGTCCCCACGGGACCCCACGTGGCCCCCTGCTCTGCCTCTCATCCTGTCGCCATGTCCTGGTGTTCTTCTGGGTCCTCGCCTCTCAGTGTTTCCTTGGCCTTCCTTGGGTTTTCTCCTTGAGTTTTCCTGCTGCAATGCAATGCCTTTATAATCCACAGTGGCTCTTACAAAACTGTCCCCCTGCCCCCTCTTCCTGACAAGGACAAATCGGCGGTGCATGAAGGCACTAGAACACGCACGTCCCCGGAGGCAGGGCTTGTGTCCTGGGGCCCCCCAGAACAGGCGGAGGGACCTCCCCGGAGAGCGCTCTGAACCAGTCTCCCAGCCGCTGAAGCCCCGCCTCACCCTTTTACGTGATGACGTTCTGATCACGTGTGTGGGTGCACATGGCGGGCCTGGGTGGCGCAGTCCGTCCTCTTGCCTGCGCGAATGTGTTGCCTGCAGACCGCGGATGCCAAGAACCGTGCTCCTGCCTGTGTGGGTGGCCCCCACGTCTGCGCCTGTGTCCCTGGAACACATGGAAGCCCCCTAATGGTCCTGGTTATAAAGGATCAGGGTACAGAGAGAGGCATGTGCTTTTCAAGGGGGAAAATCTCCGAGGAAAGGGGAATCAGAGAACTAGATGCGTGTAGATTCCGGCACCAGGTAGAGGAGCCCTCGCTGGGAAATGAACCCATCTCTTGGGTTAGGTAGCCCGGCCCTCACGGGGCATCCCAACCGCGAGGCCAGATGGAATGTTGTCCAAGGGAACACGCTGGGAATAAGAATCTTCTCGTTTTTGCCACGCAGTGACTTAGGGCAAGCAACTGGTCCTCAGTTTCTGCTCACTTTAATGCTATAAAACTAAAGCGTATGAATGGATCAAACGTTAACGTCTGAAGACAAGAGACAGTATCAAGGAAGAATGTCATCGTTTTGTTTTCATTCCTCCCAGTGGGACTTGCTATTTCAGGCTCAGGGATAGAATTAGGGAAGCCCGTGCAAGTGGATCCGGTGGGGGCAGGGCGCCGGGAGGGGGCGCCGGGAGGAGGCACCGCAGGGCTGCTGCCCCGGGACCGCAGTCGAGGGTGGGAGGAGCCTGGCCTTCTCCAGGGGACCCACCACATTTTTCACCTGCTGAAATAACTTAACAAATAAATTGTCCTCAACTCAGAGAAAACATGGGCCATGAAGTGGTCAGCAGGAATCAGAGCTGATACAATTTGTCCCTGGCAGGCAGGCTGCTGAGTTTACCCTCTGAGAGCAAGTGGCACAGGTGGGTCCCTTTGCACTCGGAAGTGCTACAGACCAATGGCAGGCGGCACCCAGAGATAGCCAGGAAATTCCAGGGCCCACCCCCAAGGGGCTAGCTCCACGCCCCGCTCTGGGCCCCCAGGGTTGTGAGAGAAGCGCTAAGCCAGCCCCATCCTTCCGCTCGATTTTGTCACACAAAAAGACAGCACCTGCTTTATATACTGCACGATGGGCCTCTCTTGATGGTCCATGCGGGGGCTTCCTAGGAGAAAGTGCCCGGGCCGGCTTTGGAAGGGCCTCAGAATGGGGGTTCCCCAGAGGCGCTGGGGAGGACACCCCCAAGACTCTAAGTCACAGGGCAGGCTACGGCTCGCCTTTTTCCAAGCCCCCCCCCCACCCCCCGGCCTATCCTACTGGTGTCCCATGCCCTGGGACAGAGTTAGGGTCTCCCCGCCTTCCGCTTGACCTCACAGGCACAGAGCCCAGGTGCTCAGCCTGCACCCCAGCCCTCTGCAACCTGGAGGGAAGCCCACTGTGAACCCCATCTTTTCTGTGAACATGCTTCTGTCTCCTGCTAGCTTTCCTTCCAGGGACTTGCTTCCCAGCCCCTCGCTGTCACTAGCTCCCCGGGGACTGCACTGTCCAACTGCCATCAAGGGGGAGCCGGCCAGTGCTTCCCTCTCCGAGTCAACCTCTCCCGCATGCATGCTTTTCCATCGCCGAACAAATACTTGTGAACACTCTGTGCCCGGCACCTTCTTCAAATATCCCTGTCCTAGAAGTAGGCAGACAGATGGGAACATCACGTCGTTTTATCAGGGAGGCCAAAGAAATGATTACTTAACCAGGATTCATCTCTCCTCCCAAGAAGGAATTTTTTTTTTAAGTAAACAGCATTCAGCCACAACACAGCTGCTTCATAGCTCCTGGCTCAAAGACGGGAGACTAGACTCGTCTGTTTCTCTCGTTTGTCAGAATCCCTGACACCAAAAGCCTGGCTGTAATGAGCCTTCCAAGAAGCAACGGAGAGTGGAGTCCTGGTTGTAGGGTTAGTTCTAATCCAGGGTGTGTAAATGCTGCCCTCTCGTGGCGGTCTGTAGGTTATAAGTGCAAAATTTGATTTAAGGATAGGTGAGCAAAAATAGGGTTGACTTTCGGGGTTACTCAGGTTCCAAACCTCCTATTCCCCTCCCCCTTTGGTGGCCTTCAGCAGTTCCAGTCCCATTTAACGAAAGTGAGCTTGGCCAGGAGGAATGGGTCTTCCCTTGAACAGCCACATGCTCCTGTCACCATGACTGAGAATCCAATTCCCACACCTTCTGTCAGGAGAGAAGCAGCAGTTAAACTCCCTGAAGGGAGAAAGGTTTCCCTTTGGTTTCTATGCAGGGAGACAAGCCAGGCGGTTTTCTTTTGGGGACGAGAATGGAATTTTGAAAGCTGTCCTGAGTCCACACGGTAAGACAGAGTTTGCCCATTTGCTTTTAGCTGGCCGTATTTACTTGTTTGTCCCCATGAGCCCCTGTTTCTGAAGACAGCTGGGGCCTGGTGAAGTATGAACCTTCCTGAGTCTGCATATACACCTGCGTAACAAAGCGCATTCAATGAGATGCTACCCCTAAGACTTCCGGTTAGAGTACCTGGCCTGTTGAAAGGGATCAAATTTGATTTTTTTTTTCCCACTTAATCTGTAACATGTCTTGCTTCTCCAGTATGCTGGAGGCATGGTGCAATGTACAGAGCAAAACACAGTGCCCTGCTTAGAGACAGTTTGAATCTGGTGTACAGAGAGACAATTCTTAGAATCAACAAAAAATGTCTGGGGTTTCAGGGATGGTTGGGATTCCACCAGAAGGTTTGGGGAGACAGGTTTGCTTGGAAGTAGGATGAGTGAGAGGAAAGACCAGGATTGGGGGGCATGTAGGATAAAGTTGGGGTGGTGTCAGAAGTACCCAGCTCTGGAAGGCTCAGGAGGGTCAGGATGGTGAGCGAGACGCTGGGAAGATGGACAGGGACAGCGGGGTGGGGGCGGGGGGGAGCGAGTGGCATGTCAAGATATTTCGACTTTAAGGAGCCCTTCAGAATGTTTTCAAAAGGGGAAAAATAAGATGATTGGAGTTGTGCTTAGGAAAGAATGTTCTGGCAACAGCATTGAGCACAGAGAGCTGGCCTGCTGACCTATGGCAGGTGATTGCAGTAACAAAGGCTGGAATGAAGGAAGAAACAGATACAGCGATAAAAGAGATTCCAGGGGTTGTATCAACAGGACCTGGAGACCTATCTGTTGCGGAAGATGAAAACAAACAAGAAAGTCAAGATTCTTGACTCTTGGTTGAGAAAGGGGGCTTGGGAGATAAAAAAAAACAGGCTCAAGAGAACGATGCGTTTGTGATGCCGGCACGATAACCGGCTTCTGCCTGAGTCTACAGGGTCAGTCCTTCCAAGGGTCAGCTGGGCCTGGCTGCACAGAAAGAAAAGTGACCCCCAGTCCGTAGACCTTGGCCTTAGCACGCAGGATTTTTCTTGCCAGACATGCTCCCAGCAGCCGCCTGTTTGGGGCTCCAAGAGGAGGTCAGGTTTGCCCCCACTCCAAACCGAGCGAGGTTTTCTGGAGCTCGTGGCCCCTGCCAGACGGGCAAGCCAGGAGTCTGGGCTCCTTCACCCCGACAGCACCGGCCGCCAGTACGGCCGTTCAGGTCATACCATTAGGAAAACTGCGAACTGAAGACTGTGTTTTTAGCTGGCCATGTTTATTTCTGTATTTCTGTCTCCACTGCCTCTATCTCTAACATGTCACTGTGCCCACCTTACGCCCACAAAGCCTTCTGTAGGAATCTGCAAGTTAATCTGAAGCCTGCAGGTGACGAGAAGGAAGAAATGCTGGCCTGAGCTTCCTATGTGACCTGTCCCTCCATCCTTCCGGCCTTCTCCCAACCCTTGTAATGTCGCCTGCGTCCACATGCCCAGTTTGACTCAAGAATGAAAGCCCAGGAGCCGGATGGAGAAAACAGAGGTCTGACTGTCTAAGGGAGGGGCCTGCCTCCCAAAGACTCAGCTCAGACAGCTCCTGTGAACCTGAATTTGGCCTTTCGGGGGCTGACGCCTGCCTGGCCACTCCGACCCCTGCCTGGTGGCAAAGGGGCCCAGGAGGAAAAGCCGCCTCTCCCCAGACTCTGACGTGTCTCGGATGTGAGGACCTAGGAAAGGAATTCTCTTTGGGGTCTCTTCTCTTGTCAAAGCCACCCTCAAGGCAGGTGGGCAGGGACAAAAATGCCTTAGCATGTTTATGAGTTTGCTTTGTCCTAGAATATCTGAGCAGTTCTGAGTGAGTAGGACATGTCTGTCTGGTCCAGGACAGTGTCCCCTCTTCACAAGGTGGCCTGGACAGGCAGAAACAAATCCACCTTAAGATGCTGTTTACCACAGTCTTCTAGAAAAAGACTCCAGGATGTCCAAGTGCCCAGACTTGGCTCCTGGGCTCCACGAGACTCTAGGGTCCCTCACCCTCAGTGAGGGGGGCACCCGGGCCTGCAGAATTCTTTGTGGCAGGGCCTTCCTGGGCATTAGAGGATGTTGAGCTGCCAGTCGCTGGCCCCAAGCATGACAACCAAATATGTCCTTGGACATTACCCAGTGTCCCTGGGGGCAAGCCAAGCATTCCTCAGCCTGGTGGTTTTGCTTCTGTTATCCACCACCACCCTGAGACGTGAAGGAGTTTGGGGGCGGGGGGATAAAAAGGCATGGCCTCACAAACTCCCTCCCGAGACAGAAGGACAACCGTTCCGTTTCCATAACGGGCTCTGCCCTGGGCGTCCGTTCCGATGAAGGCCTAACGCCCTCCGCGCCCTGCCTCCCGCCGCCGCCCTGTTGCCCTTGTTGCTGTGTTGTTGTTGTGACTGTGAGACCCACTCTGGGCTCAGCAGTGGTTTTCTGGAAGGCGGGGAGAGGACGTGTGCACGTTTGAGTGCTCGCGAGGCTGCGCCCCCGGGTTTCCACTCCAGGGTCGGGGCGCTGGGCCGGTGGGCAGAGCGATGTCTCAGCCAACCACACGCACGCTGTCAGAAACACAGACTTCCCCCTACCTCTGAGCTCTCGATGCTGCTGCTCTCTGCCGAGTGTCCCTGTGCTCCAGCACCCCCTCTAAGGACTGACGCCCGCCCCACGCCCCTCGCCAGGTTGTCCAGGCTGTGTCCGCCGCATGCTCTTCCTCTGTAGAGTTCTCATCTTCTAAGCTGATGGAATTCAACAGAAGTCTACTTATGCCTGTTTGCATTATGGTTAAAATATTAAAAAGTGGACTCAACTTGGCCGGCTGCTGTCTTTTGTTTGGTTTGCTTGGAGTTTCTCGCCCCCTGGCCCACTCTGCCAGGCCAGGGCCCGCAGGAAGCCGGCCCTGGGACAGAGGGAGCAGGCGTCTGACCAGGGGGTGGGCTTGGGCGGGGGAAAGAAGGACAGGGAGCTGGGGGTGGGGAAGCAGACCAACTAGTTAGAGGGAAAACAAGAACTGCAATATTGCCTCAACCAAAACTTCTGATGCCCTCAGGGGGATTCCGAAGGTGGCCCTCAGGGTGAGATGCAAGTCAGAGGGCGCGTGGGAGCCAGGGCCTGGCTCCACGCTGCCTTGCAGAAGTTAGCTCATGGAAACGGCTGGCAGTTGTTAAGTACTGCTCTCCCCCAGAACACCTGGCCGTGTGACCACCGCTCTTCCCGGTTTCAAACGTGGGAAACGGAGGCAGAAGGGG